ATAAAAAGTAGTTGTTGTTATTATTACTACATTTTTAGAAAAGTAGTTGTAGTTTTTCTCATCCACTGATTTAGATGCTTATTGGGCTCAAAAACTTGGTGAGTGACCTCAATTAAAAAATAGGATCCTTAGAGATCAGAGTGGGTTTACAGTCAATCTCATAATCATGATTTTTTTAAATAAATAAATAAATTAATAAATAATGTTTCGCTTATGTCTTAAATGTATATCTAGTTATATATCTAATGAATTAATGGAGAGTTTATTTTGAGTTACTTTAGATAAAAATCTTTCTTCATTATTGACATACATTGAGTTTTAAAAGCACTCGCACTTCAAAAAGGATAAAACTAAGTGGGTATAGTTAAAATATGTTTATTACCTATTTCGCTTACAAACAATAGAAAATTATAATTTAAAAGTTTCTTGTCACTTGTATCCAATTTTAGTATATTATGAAATATAATGATTTAAATACATCTCCGTTTTATCGTTTTCTCTGTAGAAAAACTTTCGCTATCAATAATATCAGTCTTTTACAAATAAATTTTTTTTCTCCAAAAATTAATGATTTTTAAATTTTTTTTTTTATTAGGTGATTTAAATCGAGATTTTCATTGTGAGTTAAATCATTCCCACCAAGCGGGTAGAGCGGTCGAAAGTTCTTCATTTTGTTCGGGAATATTTTAAGCCAATCGATCTATCATTACTCATAATTATAAAATTCATTTACCGTAAAGATGGTTATTAATTATTTTATTTAATAATGATCAGAGCCATTTATCAGTTTCTAGTTTGTTAGTTTAATACTTTTAACTTTTCCCTTAATCAAATTTAAATATAAATGAAAGAAAAATTGTTTCTTTGAATTTAATGATGTACTCAAATGCAATTTTCTAATCATCAATCATTTGAAGAAAAATACAACCTATCCTTTTCCGAACGCAATGTTTTATTTTCGTTCATTTAATTTTGGAGTTCATTTATGTAGAAAAAGCATTGACTGGGAGAAAATGTACAATTTGTATCGGAGATCATTAATGTCATTTTTTTCCCATTTTTTATTGCATTCCTTAGAATTAGGTAACATATATTATTTGCGTAGAGATTTTAAATTTTTTTTCCGAGCTTAAAGCATTGCATTTTTTTTAAGCTTTGTTTTTGCGATAGCTTGTCAGTATATAATGTATTTTAAACTATTGTTTCTTTATTAGATGGTAAACTACAAAGTAGAAGCAAAACGAGAACAATTATAGAAATTATTAAATTTTAATACTTGATTTATTGAGGTAATTCTACTAATTGCGTAGCTTTTGGTATTTCGAACTTATTTTTTCCCTATTAATTATTATTTCTGTTCTCATTTTTTAATTACTTAAATTTATTTTTCGTCGTCAGTAATTATTTTTTTTCTGATATTTCTTAATGAGTGATGTAATGAAGATTGTCAAAGACTTAATTCTATAAACGATTCATATTCCTTCGAAAATAAATCTTTGTACAATAAAAAAGCGCCATTTTTTTAACAATCGTTTTTTTCTTTCTTTAAAGACATTAATAAATACATAGTTAAACATTAATAACGAACGTTCAATTTTTGGGATATTAATAATACCTGGGCAATTTTTCTCCCACTCCGATATTGTTGTTTTGAAGAGCACTTATCAATCACATTAAGAATGTGTTGCTAAGAAATTAGGCCTATTTTCTTTATGATTACTCAAATGATAACCAAAGTAAGTGGACTATAACTATGAATGATCTTTTAGCCTTTGTAAATTTTTGTCTTGAAATGCCTTAAAAAATTTTTTTAATAACTTTATAAAATATTCTGCATTGACTTAAAACCCTATTCTAGACTACGCATTTCCTTTTTTTTAAAAGTTAAATACAGGTCACACGACCCCATAGCACCCAAGTGATTTCCCCCAACAACCGTCATTCATAGTTTACAACACTATAATAAACTTTACGTTATGTTTACATGCAATATTGTTTAAGGCCTATCTGCCACTCTTTCTCTCTCTATTGCATTCTTTTAACGGCTCACATAGAATAATTTTGCCTAGAAAATTAAATATGTAGATAAAATGGGTAAAAATTAGTTATGACTTCCAAATTATATAAATAAAAAATTCAGTTGCGAAGATATTTACCTTAACAACTACACTCTCGGCGATTAGTGAAAAAAAATTTTTTTTTGGGCTTTTGTGTTGAACTTAGAATGGAAGCATACATGTAAAGTGCCAGTTTTGATAATTATGTAAGTGACTGCTGGCCTTCTTAAGGAAATTGAATTATGTTTACTATGTAAGTGACTGCTGGTCAGTTACATAGTAACTACATAGTAAGTGACTGCTTTGTTTGCATAAGCTGGAATTCAAATAGTTTTTAAGGATTAAAAGAATTTGCATTACTGTAACAAGCGATCAGGGTTAGAATAGATAGAAAAGATTGATTTATAAAGTTGGTTATTTACTTTCAAAAGTTCTTTTTAAAATTAAGGTTAATTTTTATATTTGTTGTTATTGTTTTAATAATCTGTTTAGATACATGAAAAACTCAAATAATAACAGCCTTGTGAATCTTGCATATTTGATATTACTCTTCTTCCAACCAGAAATCGTGATTTTTTTTTTATTTAAAAAAAAAAAACAATTACGGAAAACCTGATATATTTTATTTAAATTAGATTTTTTAATTTTGTTTTAAATACCATAAGAAATTTATTTGATAGTTAAATATATTTTATAAATATAATTATAAGTGAATTATTGAAAATAAATAAAACAACAATACATTTCGAACAGTATTGCTACACCAAAAATAGCTTTATAGTTATGTAATACATGCAAATGCATGATGATTCAGATTTATTTAAAAAGAAAATGTATCCTTATAAATAACTGAAAAACTGTCGAGAAATTTTTAAAAAAATTCTTACGAGAAAAAAAAAAGAAAGAAAGAACGAAAAAAACCTTTGTGCTAACAGAATAATTTGTATCCCCTGTACCACACCTTACCCTAACTTAAAGTGACCACATTTTTATTGAGACAAATCGGGACAAATGGGATGAAATGAGAATTACAATTTAGTCAAACTTTCAATACGCACAATATATATATAAAAATACGAATAAATGTTTGCAATAATATTTTCAACAACAACTGGAAGTAAGTCAGATGCTGTTTGAATAGTATAGGTATAGAATGTGCGCTGCACAACCTACTCCAATATTTTTTTGCTTCAAATGTTCGTTAAGTTTCGTAAAAACGTTATTGATGCCTCTTCTAGCTTTTCCACCAAAATTTACGTTAGTGTTAGCCGCACAGTGGGCAATAATTTTATTGTTTAAATAATTTTTTTTAAAAATACAGTTGACTCGCGTTATAACGACCCCATCGGGACTGCCCCAATCTGGTCGTTATATCAAATGGTCGCTATATCAAAATGAGCAAATTTCCTTTGAAAATCGGTCGCATAATGGTTTTAAATGTCATAATGCATGCATATACTATTTGTGGTATACATGTTATAAACTAAAGAAGGATAGGATGCATACATTAATAAAACATAATGACATTTTAACAATTGAATTACAACTGTTAACAATTAAGAATTTTATTTTAAAGTGCAGACTAAAAAACATAGTATGACTAAAAAAAAANCTGAAAAACTGTCGAGAAATTTAAAAAAAAATTCTTACGAGAAAAAAGAAAGAAAGAACGAAAAAAACCTTTGTGCTAACAGAATAATTTGTATCCCCTGTACCGCACCTTACCCTAACTGCAAGTTGACATATAGAATAACTTATCTATTCATTTTTTTTAAAATCTTACTTAAAAAAAGGCATTATGAATTAAGTTTTCAAACAACTTTTTTTTAAAATATTATGTTAAGTCAATATTCTTTCAATACTGTAACATTCTTTAATTACTGTAATTCAGGCATTTGAAATGTTGAAATAAACTGTAATTTTGAAGATCGTGTTTTAAAGTTATGTAACTATACATATAAAAAAAAACTACATTACTTTGTTATCTTGTTCCAAGTTGGCATTCCAAAAAATTGGAAGAATGTAAAATAATTTTAAAACGTCATTTCAAAAGTACTTTAATTCATTACTCATTACCTATCAAGTACTTATGCAATATATCTACAAAACTAAGAAAACAAATAACCTTTAAACAAACTCATATTAAGATGATTTATAAAATTTTAAATTGATGATTTCCATTAAAATATCGTTTGAATTAAATCAACGAACCCTACTATCAACATAGAATAGTTGCTAACATTTAATTTTGACTTCTGTTTCAAGGGATTCTACGTACCTCATCTCTATAATAACTTTCATTTGAGACTATGATTCATTCAGTCACGTGTTAAACGATCCATGAATTTTGACCAATTAATCTCTCTCACCTACATAGTTTTTCTGTGTTTTTTTCTATATTCTCTTTTCTAGTGTAAAGAACAAATTCATTTTGATATGTGATTTTTTTAACTTACCGAATATGTATTTGGTATTTTGTTAAAAAAAGAGATATTTAATAATTCTGGTTGTTAACGATAAATGTTTTATATTTAAGGCTTTATAACATTATGAAGTACGATAAAATGAGTCGTTAATTTCTTTGTGCAATGATTAGAAATGGTAACAAATTGTTGTTCATTATTTTTACTTCAATTTCTGTTATAAATCTAAAATTTAGTAATTAAGTTTGCAATGAAGAATATATATGTATATGTGTGTGTTATTATTTAGGTTATTTATTTTTATGGTACCCTTCTTAAATACCAAATTAAACAAATGTATTATAATTTAAAATTGTCAAATATTGATATTGCTTGGAGAGACAAAATCTGCGTATTTCAAAATGTACTATGGAAGATTTGTTTTTATATTGACTTCTCATATATCATTGATGCCGAATTTTATTCTCTTCTGTTTATTAACATTTTAAGTTTAATGATGAGTACTGTTTTTTTGTTTCAGCTGGTTGGGGGAGAATTCGACATGGAACTAAATTTTGTTATACAACAGCCCCAAAATATAGTACATATGCTAGATCTGTTGGATCACTGCCCGTCCAGTTTGCAGGTAATAATTCTTTTTATAATACGTAATTCTATGACAGTGAACCGTTATTTTGGAAAGTAGATAAAGTCCACTTTTTCATAAATCGAGATATTTAACTGTTAGTGTTAGAATAGATTTTTGAAATGTGTGAAAATGGTAATAAATTTTTGAGATGTTTTTAACTCTCTAATGTGGTTAAACTTTAAAATGCAATAATGATAAAAATTGTAAATAAAATTATTATTATTATTATTTGATTGCTCAAAATGAACTGAAAATGAACAATTGCATTACATTTTATAGGAAATAAATGCAAAAGGAAAGTCCGTATTTTTCTACACGTAGGTTTTATTGAAATGGGTTTTTTTTTAATGTTAAAAAAATAACGATGAAATCTAAATATGTAAATACACGAATAAATAATTTTATTTAAAACATCAAGTAAGTATTCATGGTAAATAGTGTGCCCGTCATGTTGCTGTACTTTTTTGTTATGGGATAAGTCCTGACGTTTCATATAGTGGCATAGTAATTTTGCTCAGGTCTTTTAATTTATTATTTTTTGATTCTTTGCTTTCATAACAGTTACATTATTTGAATAATGTTTATGCATGCAATTGATTGGTGTATGAAACACAAACCAAATAGTAGAACACTCGAAGGAATACTAAACAAAATCAGGTAAATGACTTCAAAGTATAAATTGGTTCGAGAGATTACAAATTCGTAATGCACCATGCTTGTCTTGTCATTTATTCTTAAACAATGTTGTTTTGATTACTTTACATACAAAACGTGCTCCATTGAATGTATGATTAAAAAAATAAAAAAAGAGGACATGTATATATCATACTAAAGTCACTATCAACTCATTTTTTTTCTTCATATATGGATTTATTCCACTTTCGAAAATAACGGCTCAATTATTTTAAATTTGAAATAATTCTCTGAATCATTGTCAATTTTTTTGTAGGCTGAGGTGTGGAGTGTGTTTATTGCTATTTTAAGGAAAAGCCTTCGAAATCTACAAGCTTGTACAGATGTTGGTCTTATTAAACATGTTCTTTCTAGGTTACCATGTGTTGAAGAAGTTGTAGCAGGTAATTTCAATCTCTTTTCTCTCTATCTCTCTCTCAGTTTTTTTACATGTGACATTCATAATTTTTGGTGATTTATCACACACAAAAATAATGATTTGTCATTTAAAGACATTTTTATTTTCTTCTGACATAAAGGATTTACTGTATTCTCTTGTTGCAAAATTTACTGATTCAATTTACAGTCTTTAAGAGACTATTTTTGTAATAATTGGACTCAATCTAGTATGTAGATAAAGAAAAATTTTCATTACAAAAAATTTTATGTTGTAAAAAATTTAAATTACTTTAATTGAATTTTAAGCAACAATACTTTTAGAAAGAAAAGAATGTTATAAATCCAGATCCAACTGGCAACTGAGTAAAAATAATAATAATAAGAATTTTTTGAAGTTTTTTGAAATTTTTTTTTTTATTAAATTGTAGCTAGTTAAAGAAAATGATTTTATAATTTTTGAAAAATAATGATCTTTTGTAGACTATCTGCTGATCTTAAGCAATTTTTTTCTTTTCTTTTTTAAGTAGTTTATAAAAGTTTTTGGACTGTTAACAAAACCTTTTCAGTTGCAAAAAGAATAATTTCAATTTGTTTGATAACTAACTATATTATCTAAATATGGTTAATAATCGTTATGTTTGCTTAGTATTTTTCTTTAAAATTTTTTTGATTCTTAGTCTTTTGGTGAAAATGGGTAAAAATTAATAGTGTGATGAATCATGAATACAGTTTAATGTTGGAATTGAGATTGGACTCTCATTTAAACATTGCCTTAAAATACTAACGTAATATTGTCATTTGTTTTCAAATCTTCTTGCAATCTTCTTTCTCTTAATCGAAAGCTTTAGTGGTTTTCTTTTTTAATTTTTAAAATTTAATTCAAACTTTTTTTTACATTCTAAAACAGAATTAGAAAATCATGTTTATTAGTCCAATAATGCACATTTTAAATTAAATTTAATATAAAAATATTTATTAAATTAGATGAAATTAAATAATATGTTGTTGAGCATGCAAATCCATATGTGTATATAAAATAATATGTCAATACTTAAAAATAGAAAAAATCTTTATGTATTATGCATGTCCATTATATAATTAATGCGATTAGCTGTATATAATTATAACGAACCCTATTTTGTTTAAAAACAGAAATTTTTTTAAGAAGTTAATTGAATTCTGGTAAGCCGTTTTAACGAAAAATGGAAATTTATAATTTTTTATTATGTATATATTTTTTAATTTGGGCAAAGATAGAGTTAAAAATACTTAATATGACGCTCCTAGGCAATTAAGTTTGACATACATGGCCTAGAACATTAACTAAAAGTAGCTTATTATTTTTTGTTTTCCTTTTTAAACTTGTTTATTTTTAATTTAAAAAAAGCTTTGTTGTAAATTGAACATGATTTTGTAAAAATATTGCATTTTTTGTATAAATTTTATAGTTTACTTGTTTTTTAGACAATATTAATTTAAATTAAATGCTGTTAGTAAAAAAAAAAGTAAAAAAAAAGTTTTTTGAAGTTTTCATTTAAGTATAAGTTCATAAATGTCATCACTGTTATTGCCTCTTATGTTAATTTTCTCCTCTTCATGTTTTCAGATCTACTGATTGAAATTTTAGGAGTTTTAGCTAGTTATAGTATTACTGTTAGAGAGCTTAAGCTTTTATCTGGTTGTATGAAAGCAGAAAGTGGAAAATGGGTAAATTTGAATTTCTTATTTATACAATGCATCATGAATAATGTATGTTTTGTTCATCTAGTTCAGAATGTAATTCTTTCCATGAATATTTTTTATTTTTTTAATGGTTTGTTTAATTTGCGAAAATTTAATAGATTTTTACAGGGGGAAAATGTCATAGTGGTAAGAGACTGTGATTTAAACAAAATAAAATTTTATGGAAGGGATAATAAATTATTAGAATAAAATTTTAATTTTTTTTTTTATTTTCTTAAGTAATTGTAAGTAAAAGGAAATTTTTCTTGCAAGAATTTATTTTAATCTATTATTTTAAACCATCTAAGTTGTTGAAGTATTTAATTGTTTTACACTGTGTATACCAAATAAGTATAAATACACAGCAAAAATATATAGTTGGCTGCATTCTACGAGGAAAACAGTTATATTCCCTAGCTTCAAATATAGTTTTAAAGCTTGTCCACAAAAGTGGTTGTTTAATATAAAAATCACAAAACACTCTTGCTGCATATTATATACCAGCTGAAATATTAGCATTAGGTTAATTTTGTCCTCAAGACTGGACCACATTCTTGCTGCAAAGAGACATTTTTCACATTACATTGTGTTACAGTTTTTATTTAGTTAGCAACGCCATCTGTTAAAGAACTTTGTTATTAATTTTGAAGCTTGTTGGAAATAATCAACTGGTTTCCTCTGCAAACTGTACATTTCTGTTTCCTCTCCACTTCTCTTTAATTTAATTTTCAAATCATCCATCTCTTTCGTTTTAAGTGGTAGTTTTTAAAACTTTCTTTTTTATATGTTAAATAATATTATGTTTATCATATACTTTCATGTTTTTTTGTTACTTTTTTCAGCCGAGGCATTCTGTAAAACTTCTTTCAGTATTAAGGCAGTTGCCACAAAGACATGGTCCTGATACTTTCTTTAGTTTTTCTGGCAAGAAAGGTGCTGTAAGTATCTAAGTCAACTGTTCTTATTTTTTCTTTTTAACTTTTAAAGTATGATTTTGTTCTCAAAAGTTGTGTATCTCTCTACTTTAGTTAGCATTATATTTAGTGTAACGTTTTTGCAGATCCATTTATTCTTAAGTTTGTCATGAAATCTTAATTTCAGTCTAGTCAGTTTTAGTTTGCATTTTTGTTAAACATTTTATTTCTATATTTACTTGTCTACACAACAGGCATGTTTTTCTTCATGTTGGTAAATTTGAGATACTATTCTCCAGTGAAGTAACTGTACGTATTGGCTCAATTTTTTTTAAACAGTTTAAGGGTAAATTTTTTTGCAAACATCATGAATCTTAATTAATTTTAAACCATATAAAAAATTTATTTTTTTAGTATAGTATCTATTTTTCTGTAAATTTAAAATTAAATGTTTCATTAAGTTTTAAATGTGAAAGATTTTGCCAAAATTTTACTTGCGGGATGGGTATGTTTGCTTAAAAATATTTTGTAACTGATCATTATTTGTTTCTTTAAAAATTTTATTTTACGAATGGAATTTAATAGAATTTTTTGCTATTTTAAAAATGTTTTATTTCTTTCCTTCAGCTGATTTTAAAATTAGTTTTTATGTTATGTTTTATCTTTTTAAAGAAATAATTTGTCATTGCACGGTTTATTTTTTATTATTTTAAATGTTTTTTTAAAAAGATTTTTCCAGTTTTAACATAAGGCTAAAACGCCATAACCATATCAGAGTTACAGTGTCACCCATATAAGTTGACCACTTGAGGTGCATTGTTTTAGATAGGTCCAAGGATAGGATAACTTATGAAGAGCTTTGAGTCTATGCATTTTTTTTTAATAAATTCCTTAATCATGTTGTTCTTATATGGACTATGTTGTTCATAATATTTACATATTTATGTTGGAAATCAAAGTAAAGATAAATATAATCAAATTTATTTACACGAATTTAAAATTGCATTAGCAAATAACCCATGCATCTAAAAGAGATTACTTACTGAACAAATTACAATTTGTTTAATAAATTTAACATTGAATTGATTATAGAAGCAATTATGTATATTTAGTGAATGATGTATACTTGGTATTTATTATAAATAATTTCTTAAAATAACAATACATATAATCAAATATGGAGTCAGATATTTTGAAAATATTTTATTTCCAAATTTGAAAAATGATTCAGTTTTATTTACAAGCTATTGATTGTAAAAGCTTTTAATAATTTCCTATGTAGTCAGCTCACAAAGTGAATTTCATTAATAGTTTATAGATTTATTTCATCCATTTGGTGAAATTTTAATACATAGCCTAATAACATAAAAAATTTTCTAAAGAATTTCTTTTCTGGTCAACTTAAAAAGTTTTTTAATTTGACTTATTTCAGTAGTCAACATACTAGATACCCAGATGGTCAAGTTATGTAGCTTTTGTTCTCTTTTATTATATAGGATAAATTAGTGATAATAGTGGTCAATTTGGACAAATGGTTAAGTGACAAGAGTTGTCAACTTGATATCTTTCACTGTATTTTTAACGACACATTATTTTCCATCTTTTATTCATTTGTTTATTCTTTGAAGTCAATTAATTAATAAAATGATTGAGCACCACATAAAAACATTTATATATTATATTTTGTAATTTATTGGACATTTTCTAATAATTCTCTTATAATCAATTTCTAATCATTAATCATTTCAAAGAATTTTTTTATATTTTGCCCTTTAACTAAAGTATTGTATTTATTTTTTAGGCTATAGCATTACCCCCTTTAGCGAGATGGCCATATCAAAATGGTTGGACATTTAGTTCATGGTTTAGGTTAGATCCAATAAATAGTGTAAATATTGAAAGAGAAAAACCATATCTATTTTGGTAAGTAAGTTTTTACTATTTTTAAGTGGCAGTTGAGAAATCTTTGTATTATTTTATAATTATTATTTATGCTTAATGTCTTTTCAATTTGAGAGAAATAACAAATATATTTTTAAATAATGCTAATAAAATTGAAGGTTTTTTCCCCCCGCCTTTTATTTAAGTGTTAATTTTATCTAATGATGCATTATAGTTATGTAAATTATGTGTAGTTCTAATCAGATACATAATTAAAAATTGTTAATTATGCATCTGATTAATAATTTATTATTTAAATTTATACAAGCAATTTTTCTTTGCTTCATATCTTAAAATAATTCATTTTGATTTAAAGTTAAGATCTTGCTTATGAATTCATAATGTTCACTCAGACAAATTTGTTTAAATGTATACACTATCTAGCATAGGGCAAAATTAATGGTCGTCACTAGCCACATTGCGACTAAGTATAAAAAATTATGATTAGAAATTTGTTTGTTTATCGACACTTTTTTCGATGCATCCCATGTGTTTCCAACTTCTTTTATTGTTTATTATACAGAATGACTATAACTCTAGAAAGTTCCAATTATTCTAAGCTGGTTCAAAATTTTAGGAAAATTGAATTTGTTTATAAAAAGTTTCATTTCAGTTCAAGTTAATTTCATTTTACTTCTTTTTCTTCCTTTTTTTTTTGATTTATACCTGATAATATGTAAAAACAAGTAATATAATTTTTAAAAAAAAGTCAATTCCTACTTAGGACAACAAATAAAATTTTTATTTTAGTTACTTTATATTAAACAAGGGGGCTTCGCCCCCTGCTCGCCAACCCCCGGAACTGCTTTTGCAGTTCATTGAATACGTTCTTAACGTCTAGCTTTTGTATACTTTTTCGAACGCTGAAGTTCCGAAAGTTTTTCACTGTAGAAAATTCTAAACCTGTGCATTTCAATATTAATTTGAAATTGAAAACAGTTCGCATATTTTTCTTAATCACACTATTCTAAATTTCAGTTGTTGAGAAAAGTAACTGTTGTAAGTTTTGTTTTAAANAAATTTTATACAACATTTGGATGGATGCGAGAGGATGGAGGGTAACACCATCACACTTGGAAGTCAGAAAAGAAACTGTATTGTTATTGTTTTTTTCCCTTCAGGGGAATAGCGCCATCTGATGTGCTACGAACTATCCATTACAGAATGACTATAACTTTGGAAAGTTCCAATTATTCTAAGCTGGTTCAAAACTTTAAGGAAATTGAGTTTGTTTACAAAAAGTTTCATTTCAGTTCAAGTTAATTTCATTTTAACTCTTTTTATTTTTTATTTATGGCTGATATGCAAAAACAAGTAATATAAATTTTTTTTAAAAGTCAATTCCTACTTAGGTCAACAAAGAAAAATTTTATTTTAGTTACTTTATATTAAATAATTAAAATTTTTCTCCCATATAAAACTAAAATTAATGAACTTAATTTAATTAATGAATTTAATTTAATTAATGAATTTAATTTAATTAATGAATTAATATTTGAAAAAAACTGAATTAGCATCAATTGTCATACACTACAAGTTTAAAAAAATTTATTTGAAATTGAATGGATGAATAAAAAGTATTTTATTACGATTGAAAAGTTGAACAAGATATATAAATATATATAGGGAGAGTGTGAACTAATTAAAAAAAAAGAGGCATGGTATCAGACAACTATAAAAGTATAAATTTGGTGACGTAAACAACACGTGCTGGTACGTTTAATGCTCTTTATTGAATTTATCTGCCACAGCGAATATAAAATAATTAAATATTTAAATATGCCCAATAAACTATTTTTTTTGTTCAAATAGAGCTGTAAGTTAGAAATTATAACTGATGTTATTTTGAAAATATGCGAAAAACTGAATTGCTTATAATAAAATTTAAAACAATGACTAATGCTTAACCAATCAGAAAATTTCATTTTGTTTTTTGCTCATCCCTATTCTATTAATAAATTAATATTTGAAAAAACTGTATTAACATCAAGTGTCATCCACAACAAGTTCAAAAAAATGTATTTGAACTTTAGTAAATTCATAAAAACTATTTTAATATTGAAAATTTGAACAAAATATAAGGAGATTGTGAACTAATAGCAGGAATTGAATAATCAAATATAATATAATTTCATCATTATGATTACAATTATTTCAGACTGCAATTGATAAATTTTATGTTTGTTCATAAACATAATTTTTATATCACATTATACGCTCAGAAACTCAAACACTTTACCTATTTCAAGAGGTCAGGAAAAATATTTCTTCATTTTAGAAATAAACTCTGATATTTTTGAGAAATGTTTTATAATAACAATATCATTAGTGTTAGTGTTTTTTATTAATTTAAAAATTTTATTTTTTGAAAAAGTAGCCATGATTAAAAATGATACTACTGGCCACTGGCTAGTATCAAAATTTCTAAATTTTGCCCTATAGTATGGGACCAAAAATTTCCGTAAATTCACCTAAAGAAATGGATCTGACTTTTGACTGAGTTAGATCTGTATCCAAAAGCATTGAAAGTGTTAGTAGTGGTTTGTCATTAATTGCTTACAATAAATATTGCAGACTAATAAAATGATTTTTTCCCAAGCATGTATGTAGGCATTTAATTTATTATTATTTTTTTTCAAGCTTTCGTACCTCAAAAGGAGTTGGTTACTCTGCACATTTTGTAGGAAATTGTCTTGTTTTTACATCTATGAAAGTGAAAGGTAAAGGCTACCAGCACTGTGTAAAGTATGAATTTCAACCAAGAAAGGTTTGTTTCATTGTTCTTTATGTTTAATTTATAAGTTGTCTTATAGCAAAACTTAATGATCTTTTAGATTTTATTAAAGGGAAAATACCTTTTGTTACTCACGCTTTTTTTTTTTATTACTATAATTGAAAATACTTTTCAGATTTTTCAAAACACTTGCTCTTTTTTGTCTTTTTTATTTTGATTGAAACTAACTTCTGTAGCAAAAGATATTTTTACCTAACCCACTAATGGTTCTGCGCGTAAAAAGTCATATTTTGATCTGCAGTCTTCTCCACACAGCGAAACAAGTTTTCACTGTTATTAAATAGGGAAATAGTGTATACGGAGAAACGTTATAATGCCAATGAACCCAATAATGCCAATTTTCTAAAGGGTTAATTGGTCAAAGTTAAAAGAAAAGAGTTACGTTTATAAGGTTCTGTTACTAGAAGTATATAAATGTTATAATTTGTGTGCACAAACAAATGAAATTAATTTAGATTTTTCATTTTCAATGCCATTAAAAGTTTGTTGCCTTTTCCAATGTGGGCATGTTTCTTTTTGTAAAAACATTCCAGTTTATTTATTTGTGTGTGTATATATATACACACACATAGAGTCGGACCTATATTTAACGAAGTCTAAATCCCGATTAAAAGTTTCTTATGCAGAAAATCCCCCCATTTGAAATACTTAAACAACGCGAAAGAGTTTTTAAATTTATAAACGCTAAACATAATTAAAATAGCAATTGATACATCTTTATCTTGTAAATTTTTATCTACTATCGAATTTTTCCAAATGATTTTAACATTTCATAATATGAAGATTCGGTGATTTCTTAATCATTTCTGTCTTCAACTTCCTCACAATTTACTGCTGTATTGTTTTTATTTTTCACACTGTCCAAAATATCCGATTCAGTTAATGTTTCTGTGGTTGCAGCTTTAGAATCAATAAAGAGAAAATCATTAATCAGTTCATCATTGTTAATTTTGTGGTCCTCTTTATCTGTAACCACAATTTTTTAAAGTTCTTCTAAAGAATATCATTCTTGTCTTCTGCAATTTCAAAACTCTCTGCTCATACTAAGAATCCAGCTTTACCAAAACTGTTGTGGATAGTGTGATATATATCATCATAGTTCCATGCTTTAGAAAGTTCTGTTAGGCTTTCTCATAAGTTAATTTTTTGCATGGATTCCTGTATGAAATGCAAACAAAATGGGAAAGGGATTTTGCTGCTTTCTCTGAAAGTTAAGTTGCTGCAAAAATCAATTCAAGGACATTTCCCCCATAAAATGCATTAAGAAATTTGAAATGTTCTGAAATATTTTGGGAAATAGGGAAAGTCGATCGCAAAGAAAAGTTTGTTAAATAGAAAATTCACTTTGCTATTTGGAAGTTATTTTGCTAAGAAATTTTTAAAATGTTTTTTTCCCTCAAAACTTGCAAAATGGGAGCTCGTTAAATAGAAATCCGACTGTATTTATATATTGATAAGAAAATATCTGGTTTTCAAGAAAAACAGGGAAGGTAACTGAAAAATGTTACTTCAAATGTAATTATTTTCTAACTACATCACAAGTGTTTAAAGTTATTAAATTATAATTATTACAGTTAAATATTAATTTGAAGATAAAAATTCTTCCACTATTTGTTAAAACTTTAATGCAAATAAAAATTGAATTGCAAATAAAAATTATTCCACCATTTGATAAAAATTTATTGCAGACTTGTGAAAGAAAGATTGTGACATTTTAGTAAATTTGGAAATATTTTCAACTAGTTGTTTAAGCTTTTCAACCGTGCTTTGTTGAGTTATAAATTAAATCATATGTAATTTTTTTTTCTGTATATTTATTATTATTTGTTGGCTATGAAAAAAAATATTTGAAATTGCTTTCTTTGTTATTTTACAATTCAAAAGTAATATTTGTTTTAAATATTTTAGTGGTATATGATTGCTATTGTATATATTTATAATCGTTGGAGCAAGAGTGAAATCAAATGCTTTGTTAATGGACAGCTGGCTTCAACGACTGAAATGAGTTGGCTTGTGAATAATAATGAGGTAAATGTTTTTTTATATCTTAATCTACATTTTACTAGCAAATTGTCAGTATGATAGGGAGGTTTAAATTACTATTAAGAAATTAATTGGTCTTGAAAAGTTGCAAACTACAAAATCGTCATATTGAATTTTGATTTTGAATAATGATAGGATTATCTTATAGATAATCCTACCATTATTCAAAAGTGATCTAAGTGGAAAATCTGAGTTTTTACTCCTAGAGGATCCAACTCCATTTGAGTGTTTCAGTGAAAATAATGCACATTCTTTGTGTAAATGGTTTGGATTCTAATTCATGCAAGTTATCATGCCTGCAATTTTTGTACCTCAGGCAGCGTTACATAGATTTGCTTCTATGATTTTTGTTAAGGCATGATCTGATCACATCGACCTTACCATTTTCAGTTCATAATCTTAAATGTGTTGTAAGAGCTAATTAGTTGCTGAAGTGTTAAGTAGTGTACAAGTTTTGTGGATTTCTTACTCGTTTATTCTTTGAATGAAGCCATTTGACAAAAGACATTTTGCCATTAGATATTCTTAACTATTATTAACTAATACTTTTTATATGAAATTAGTTAACAGTCTTTGTGCATTGTATTAAATGTTTATTGAATATATGTTTCATTTTTAATTTCATGAATCTTCAAATACTTTTAGCCCTTTGATAAGTGTTACATTGGTGCTGCTCCTGAATTGGAGGAAGAACATGTTTTTTGTGGACAGATGTCTGCGATGTATCTTTTTAGTGAAGCTCTTTCAACTCACCAGATATGTGCCATCCATAGGTTAGGTCCAGGTTACCAGGTATGCACTGTAATGACATCTAAACAACAATTCAATAATAAAACTCTTTTATTAATTAAATTATTTTAATTTTTAGAGTCAATTTCGGTTTGATGGGGAAGCGAGTTCATCTTTACCAGAAAATTTAAAAAGGGTAATTTTATTATTAGTAAATTTTGTCATATTGTGATGTCATAATTAATTTTTATTATAGGTTTTATGCTATGCAAATATTCTGTCACTTAATATCTTATTGTTATTACATAATTTTATAAAATGGCTCATTTTGCGATCACATTAACAGTGTTCACGCTAAACTATTGTCAATGTGAGTACTAGGGTTCCATTAAAATTATAGGTCCTGCTTCAAATAAAAAGAAATTTAAAAATGAGTGTCTGATATTTCAAGTTAGGAGCATATTATTTAATAAAAAATATAATAAAAAAATGCTCAAATTATAAATATAATTCAGTTGTAATACCCAGCTATAACAAACCCGGGTTATAATGAACATGCTGTTGTAATGAATGTTATTAGTGATTCCATCTAAACTCCAATGAGTGCTATTTCAAATGTTTAATGTAAACAGCTGAAAAAGTGTTAGTTCATTCATAGTTGACTCAGTTTTCTTTTTTGTAGCTGTTCAAATAAATAATGTGAAAATTTTTTATCGATGCTATAAGTTCAAAGTATATAATTGACTTTTAATCAAAAATGAAGTAATACGCATTATAAAGGAATGTTTAATATGAGTCATTTCGCTTAAATGAATAATGAAAATGATTTCAAAAATAGACATATGGAAAAGAAAAATGGTTTTATAGAAATTCCAGCTTTATGTAGTGTAATGCTCTCAATATTCAACAATGTTCTTCAATATTCAGTAATGTTCAGTTCTTTCTTTATTCAGTTCGTCCAAAATGCAGAAATAAAAAAAATAATACCTTAAAACTTCCTAAAATGAATGATCGTTCCTGCCTAAAATGAAAAAAATATAGAAAAGATAAACTTTTAGAAATTTTTTTATTTGTTAACAATCACTTTTTGTTACATTTTGTCACATCGAATTTTAAATATCTGACTTTTTTAAATTTCAATTTCACAGGAACTATAAAGTACGTTTTTGTGTCTGATTTCTTAACTTAAATATAGTCTACATTTATTAATTAGCATGTTTGCAGTCACCTCTCAAACTATTAAGATTAAATCTTAGAATGTGAAGATCCGATCATTCGATCAAAAGTTATTCAGGGTGGTCCTTTTCTTGTTTTTCACCTTGTACTTCTTTTTTTGAAGGATATAAAAAGGCAGGCAATGATCACTTAAATCCCAAATGTTTGATAATTTCCTAGCATTTCTTAAACCACTGTCGAGAAAAGCATAGAATTTTAAAGTTGAAGGGACAAAATCGTCAAAAATTGTTAGAATAAAAACTATTTCATATAAACATGAATTAAAACTTCTTAATATCTCCTCATATTTAATCAAGCCAATTTTTTTATTCCAAATCATTTTGAATATTGGTGAAAATTATGTTCTCCAGTTAAGTTTGTTTTCTAAAAGTAACAAAGTAGCGATTACATTTCGACAATAGTTTGTAGTCACTATATTTAAAAAAAAGTCGTTGTAGTTAACTACAATTATAATAAATTGTACAATTGTAGTAAAGTAGTTGTTAACTACAAAGAAAATGTTTTTATGAACACTGATTTTGGATATAATGAGCCACTGTTTTTAGTGGACTTATTACTGAGTCCTCAGATGATTCATTATAATGGACTTGTTTTGAAATTTTCATTTCAGGAAAAGTGAGCAGCATTTTCTGAAATTTTTTGAATGTTTTGTTGTCAGCTAGAATTTTTTTGTCATGTAATATTTTAACAGTAAAAAATCCTTTGCAGGTATTGTATGATGGCAAACTCTCAAGTGCCATAGTGTTCATGTATAATCCTGTAGCCACGGATAGTCAGCTATGTTTGCAAGCTGCTCCAAAGGGAAATATTTCCTTCTTTGTCCACACACCTCATGCACTCATGTTGCAAGTAAGTTAGATATTTTTATGAAATAAGTAGTCAAAAAGTTGTTTTGTTTTTATAATTAAGTTATATTTTTATGAAGGAGCTAGGGGGCTAAGCCGCCTGTTCACTTACGCTCACCAACAGCACCCTCTTAAAAGCATGCAGGGCCCCTGGGCAAAGAAATTTTTTGGGCCCTTATAACTTGTCATACTGCTTAAAATGGAACTAAAGAACTTCACATACATAAAATAAAGCATTTTTAACATATGCAATAATTTGAACAAATTTAAATACATTTTGATTTAAATGTATTTAAATTTGTTTTTAGTAGACCCAAAAAAACTGAATTCGCATAAAAATTTCATTAGAACGTAGAAAAATAGATTTTGGTTGCCTTTTTAAATTTCCCTGGTGATGAACTATTCAAATTATTGTTGTTTGTACGATAATCAATCACTATTTGTAGAAAGAAAAACAAAAAACACACTTTATACAATATAATATATTTATTTTAAACAATATGTAAGGCAATTTTGTTTAGTCTTAGTTTTTTTTTAATGCAATTTATAAAAGTAAGATTCTCAAGGGCCCCCTGAGTGCCGGGTGTGCCCATACGTAAAGACGATACTGCTCACCAACCCCAGTGATTGTTTTGCAACAAATGCTGTTTCTTGGCATGAAACAGTTGAAATTCTAAAAAGAATACTTGTCCCCTTATATTTTCTTTATAATATACTATTAAAATCTATTAGTGAACATAAATCATTTTTCTAAGTAATCATTTTTTGAAATAACATTTGAAATTAAAAGTATATTTTTATGACAAATTAGGTGAGTTTACGACTGTAATTTAATATTTTTGCTTACCAAACGAACGGATGTATATTTTAATTGCAATTTTTGCTTTCATCACTTTGTGCATGAAGCTGAAAGTTAAGTTCTAAATCATTTAATAAATATCTCTAGCCCTAATTCATAATAGTATATTATTGTAATTTTTACCAACGAATAATATTTGTAAAACGGTTAATAAGATCAGACACAGATTTAAATCTTTTTATCTTAAAATGTAATGTAGAATTACGTTATTCTAACAATAATAATTATAAAAACAATCCTCTTAAACTCTTAATTTAGAAAACAAACAAAATCAAAATTGTAATAATAACAGTACAGGTAAAAACCTTTAAATTAGAAATGCAAAAATATTTATAGAAAACGGTACCTTTATTACTTATATAAATTTTATACAAATGACAATCAAACAAATATGAAAATTATTGTGAGAAAACTGGATCGATCCTAAACTAAACTAAATTCAGTGGCGCGACAGCCCGTAGAGAGCCAAGGCCTACTGTGCCCATCTCAGTTTTCTTAACCTTAGGCTCTGGGGTGCAGGAGCAGGTGTTCCAGTCAGCTGGTCAGCCGAACTCGGAACCCCCAGTGTTTAGTTCACAAGCATGCTTGGTACTCATTTATCGACCCACTGAAGGGGTGAAAGGCTGAGTCAACTTTGCCCGGCCCGAGGAGAAAACTGGATCCTACCCTGTGATTTTCCAGCCAATAAAAATACTTGACAACAATGGAAAACTGCGATACCATCATTAGATTTTTATATAGTAAGAAGTCACATTGTTGATTATTTTTGTAATATTTGTCTTTATTTTTAGGATGTAAAAGCCATTACAACATATTCCATCCACAGTACTCTAAATTCTATTGGTGGAATTCAGGTATTTCTATTTTTGTTATTATTTTAAATGAAATACGCTTGTAATGGTTTTAATCTCTTTCAAATTTTTATTTATGTATCATATCAAATAATATATAGCTAAAGAATCTTCTTAATTTCATTCAAGAATAGTTTTAAAAAGTTCAATTTTTTTCTTTAAAAGTTCAATTTCTTTCTTTCCTTTTTTCTTTATCTAATTATAATTTTTTTAACGGAGACATGTTTAGACACATCTTTTTGGTATAATGTAACCTAAAAAGTGTTTCATTCAAATTTAATTTGGAACATTTGAAAAAACTAACTGAACAAAGTTTATTGTTTTAGAAAAATATTCCTATTCCAGATTTCTTTAATTTGTTTTATTAATTTTCAAGTTTAATCTCTATATTATAAGAAATGTTAAAACTTTTTGGATAAAAAATATATTTAACAGCAATCGATAATAAATCATGCAAATTTGATAGCTTGCTCATTGGAACAAATTTCTTACAGGAAACTCAAATTGAAAGTTTTCCTTTGTTTTAATAGGCGTCAATACTCGTAAAATGTAATATTATACCACAGTGGTACTAGCAGCATTTGCCAATTTTTCTACCCATAATTGGCGCCACAATCATATTTGTGCGTGTCTTCTATTTTATTTATTAATTATTCTCTCTCTCTTTGTGAGTTTAACTTGCCATCGTCATATAACTGGGTGCTGGGTGTTGAACACCACATAGTTTTAATTCCTTTTTTAATTCTACCTTTCAGAATCAACTATTTTCCCCTCTTTACGGAAATTTTGTTTGTAAGTAAGTAATTCAAGGTAGTATTCTCACAGCATGTAATTCATGCACATCCAATCACTCCAAGGGAAAGTAAGAACCTGGTTGGTGAAATATATATTTTTTTGTGAAAAACTCAGCAATCACTATTTTCTCTCAAATCCAATGGGAGGTGTGTCAACTGCAGTAAGAATGCCTTTTTTTACGGTCCTAATTTAAAAAGTTTAAAAAAAGTCTTAAAAACAACAGAAATGTTTAGAAATAATTTGTCTTTAAAAGAGAATGATTGAGTGAATAAAAAAAAAAAAAAAAAAAAAAAAAAAAAAAANAAAAAAAAAAAAAAAAAAAAAAAAAAAAAAAAAAAAGAAAGAAAAATCATAAAAGACTGGCTGATGATTATGGAGAAATAAAATCTTTTTGTCTCAATACAATAAGAAAAAGAATAAATAAAGACTGTAATTTATTGTGTTTTACGTTAGCCTGTTTAAAAAATCCTTACAGAAATTCATTGTTCATTTAATCCATTAAAAAATTGCTACAAATTTAAAAGTTATGAATTAAAAACAATGTATCTCTTTGCTTTTTTTCACTCTGTATTTTCTTTCATGACCTTCCTTTCTGAACAAGAGAAAAAAAAGTCTGTTTTCATTGTCACGTCATGTTAGAGGATAACAAATAAGCCACCTAATGATCCTCTTCTCCCCTACTAACTTAGAACAGCATTTGGGAAGTGGTCAATTTCATTCTTGTTGCAGTTTAATTCATCTAAATTTTCTGTGTGAATTTGAATCGATTAAAATCTAAAAGTGTTAGTTGCACTTCAGAATTTAAATTTAAAACTATTACAAAAGTCTGAAAAGGAGAAAACTGGGCGGTTGGAATGTATTTTAATATAGGTTTATCAAATATTCCTCTTTGTAGAAAATCTATAGAAAAGCTTTTAGTAACAGGCAAACAAAGGGATTCTGAGGAAAGAGGTCTAGCTGCATTGTCTGCATTAGAATCAGAATTAAATCGCTAAATCCTCAGTAGAATAGAGAAAGAAATTTCAATTGTGTTCTAACAGATGAAAAAGGAATATCCAATTTCATTGGCAGCCATTGATAGTGCCATTGATTGATATCCAATTTGATTGGCAGCCGATTTATGAAGCACTGAAATATGAAGGTAAGAGCCCATACTACTATTGGACAGTGCTAACCCTCAGATTGGAGATAAAAATGTGTGTAATTTCTAAATTTAACAAGACCCGTAATAACAGATAATAAGTTCAGAGAAAACGATATTATGAGCATGGATTAGGTACTACTTAATTGCCCCTCCCACTAAACAGTACTATTGGTTCCTGCAGTGTGAGTTCTGCCACTGTTACGATGACAGGGAACAAGAAGACAGCTGTCACTGTAGTTTTAGCGTGCTTTGCTGTAGGAGCAAAGCTTGCTCCTTTTGTTATTCTCAAGCAGAAGACAAGGCCGAGAAAGAATTTTCCCAAAGGAATCAAGGTTAAGGTAAACGTGACATAATTGTTATCAGTATGGAGTGGGTGGATGGGCACTTTCTTTTATTTTAAAAAATTGTTGATTATGTACTCAATTTGGAATCACATAATGTTTGTAATTTTTCTTTTATTTAATATTTTATTTTTTGATATATTTTATTTCATATTTCATAATTAAAAGTTCAAGATTTTTTTATTTAATGTTTCGTTTTTAAATAAAAACTATTTCATTTTATTACCTATTTATACTTTACTCTTGTATCACAGAATGATATGTCGGCTGAGATAATGCATCAATCCAGGTAATATGATGAAAATTAGGGAGCAGTACTTCATAATCTTCATTATTAAGATAATATGAAGTAATTTTTATTAAGATAATATGAAATAATATCTCAGTAGTCATAGAATAAATTTAGTGAAGTATATTTTTCTGCGATAAACTCACCAATCAGGCTCTCTTTTTCTCTCACTCACAATCCAAGGTACTACGCCTGCAAGAAAAAGTAAATATTTAATCAAATGCAATGAATTCAAATTTCAAAACATCAAATTAATTTTAGATATATAATTTTAACCAACAGCATTAGACATTTTTTTAACTTGCTATTAATTTTTCTTATAAAGTTTTAATTATGTTCATTTTGTTTAATCTTTTAGGTTTTATTTCCATTATTGGGTCAGCTAGATATTCCAACTGGTATCACTCTACCGAAAAACCAAGAGAAAAAACCAACAACATGGTATGCTTCATCAATACTCAAAAATAAAAAAAATTATATTTTGTTTTCAGTAATTTTATCTTTTTAAATAAAAAATAAATGCTGTCAATGTTAAATTTTATGAAAAATATATTTCACAAGATGCTTTACACAAAGTTAGAAACATTGTGCTTGCAACAAAACAAAGACATTCATTTTTTTGGTGGGTTTTGCATTCTTTGAAATCTAAAGAGCACACATTTTCTAAATTAATATAAATTAATAATTTACTATATGTGCTGAAATATGAATACAGCTCAATTTAAGTTGTCCACTTATGGTTCGTTGTTTTAATAGACAATTGAAGCAGGTGGTCAATTTATAGATGGGGAGAGTCATTTTTTTTCTTTTTCATCATATTATTCATTTATGTATAAGTATAACATATATAATGTATATTATTATGAATGTTATTAGTTTCCAATATGGTTAACCCACAAAGGGGTTTAGATTAGTTTTTAATGCTATTTTACCAATTCAGTGAAATTCAAATGCATAATATCAATTTTTGAAAACCTTTTTTTCCCCTGAACAATTTATAAGGATTTCAGATCAGCATTTCATCAAATACCAAGTAATAAAGAGGAAAGAAGTTATGTTGAATAAAATTCAGTGAAAACTCTGGATTGCCTAATCAATTGCATTCCAGAAATTCATAATCTCACAGTATCTGAGATGGTCATAGAGCACTGGATTAAAAAACCCAAAGAAATAATTATATTTTAGTATTTATTTATTTTTTATTCATGCAGCTAGATCATATTTTTTGATAACTTGATCATATTTTTTGCTTATTTTATGCATTCAATAGAAGCCTACTATAGATCTTTTTCGTTAGTTATTCTATAATTATATTATTGACTTCTTTGAAAACCCTATTTTTATATTACAGTGTTTTTAACCAATTTAAATTACAATTGAAAGTGTAAAAAGTTGTTTCAAACATGTTTACTCATTTCAGTGTTTCTTAATTAGTTTTAATCAAGTATATGTATTCATTTTAATTGTACTTTATACAGCTCTACTCTAATTGGTTTTGTTTGCGATTTGGTGGAGAACTCTCCTACCGTCCAACAGCACATGATCCAAAACAAAGCTTTTTTGGTTATTAGCTATTTATTACAAAAAGTAAGATGATTAAAGTATATTTTACAAAAATATTTTAAAGATACTTTCAATATTTTGTTACAAATTAATACTTTTTTTTCCTTCAAAATTCTTTTCTTTCAATAGGCTTCTAGAGATCATATAACAGAGGAAGTGTTATTATCTTTCTTAAATCTTACAAAGTACTTGGTCACAGTTAACAATAGTAACAGTGAGTTATTGTTGAAACAACTGCTTGACCACATTTTATTCAATCCGGCCCTGTGGATTTACACTCCAACTGTTGTAAGTAGATAAGCTCTTCCATTTTCCAAGTTTGTTTTATATTGTGTACAGTTATGGAAATTTTAGAATCAAGAACAGCTGAGATAAATTTCTCGTTTAAGATATAAGATTTAATATTTGAATGGAATTCTAAAATAAGTTACATTTAAATAAGTCAAAAGTAAATGCCAAAAATAAAAGAAAATCATGGTATTAGCATAATTACTTTATGAATTATTATTTTTTTATTTAATAAAGTTTAAACTATTTTTTTCTGTCACTGTAAACTGAGTTAAATCTTAAATAAATTTGCATTTTTTTATCACTTTTAATCTATTTGTATACTTTGGAGTTAAATGTTCCCAAACATTTTGTTTCGATGTTAACTTTGTAGAAATAAATAAAATAGTCAGGGTGCATAGCATTTTTAAAAAGTGCTTAAAGATTTTTATTTTCGATTTTAATTTTTTAAAAGCCCTTAAGGGTGCTTTTTTTGTTAGGTGTTTTTATAAACTGCTTAATTTCCCCTTTTCCAAAATAAGATTTTTAAAATTATTTTTACCATGTCGATTTTTGCCACGAATTACGCAAGAATCGTGGTATTCACATTATTCCACTCAACATATTTACAAACATTAAACTTCAACATGGTCAATAATATTAATCTTGATAACTTTTTCATATACTTTTATGAATAACTTTTATTTAAATCTAAAAAATGCACCCAATAACTTTTTTTAAAATTATAGTTTAACTAACTTTCATTTTGAATTAATTTTTTTTTGTTTAATTAAATAAGGTAACTATTAATTTTAAAAATAGAATGAGTGACTCAATATGAAAGATATTTAAAATTGTGCATAAATTGTTATTATGATGACTAATACATAGCGGGAAAAATTTTATTAGTGCACATATCCAAATTATGATATATATTTTTTTAAAGTGCTCAAAATATTTTTTGATTGTTTAAAAGGTGCTTTTTATTATTGGAAAATTAGTTTACACATACTAAAAGTATTTTTTTTTACTTCCATTCAAATAGAAACATTAAAAAAGTAATATCTATGTCATAGGGAAATCATAATGAGTTCTTTCATAAAAAAAACATCTTTGCCCATGTTCAGCTTTTGATCATAAAACATTTTACTATTTCAGGTCAATAATCAATTTTTTCTAATTAACTTTATATGTGTTTAAATTTTAGGTTCAAACAAAGCTTTTTACGTACCTTGCAACAGATTTTCTGGCGGATACACAAATATATAGTAATGTTCGTCGAATAAGCACTGTTTTGCAAACAATGCACACTTTGAAATATTATTACTGGGTGGTTAATCCAAGAAACAAAAGTGGAATAACTCCCAAAGGAATAGGTATGGAATTTTGTTTATTTAATTCAATAAAAATGAAGATTATCTTGTTGTGAAAGATTTTGTGACATGTGAAGCATTTTACTCTGTTAAATATTTAGTAACTATATGGTTATAACCAAAAAGTTATTCAGTAAAGAAATGCTGAATCATGTTACAAATTTTAATAAAAATTTAAAAGGGGTTATTCACTAACTTACATTTGTAATATGAATTAAAGATGTAAAAAAGCTGAATTACGCATTTTGCAATTAACTATTTATTCTTATACTATCACAATATTTTTTTTGTAAAATATATTGTTTGTCTTTTGTTGTGATATTTTTCTAATAATTTGATGAAGGAAAAAAAAGAGAAAGTATTTCGTTGTTAGATTGGGACTCAAGTGATTCTGCAGAAATATTTTACTCTGCTTTCTAAATATTTCAGTTAAAAGACTGTTTTTATATTGTAATTTTTATTGAAAATAATAATTCAATCTAAAATCACTCCTTTTAAATATATTTTATCAATATTAATATGCTTAAATAAGGATTAAAACTTTATCAAACATATTTTTATTTTTAATTCAGATATAATTAAAACTTTTTTGTTATTAAGAAAGAAACAGTACAATTTAAATTCTTTTATTATTATTATTTTGATTAGTTGTAATATTTATTTATTGGGCTAAATATAACATATAAATAAATGCAGAAAATTAGATTACTTTTTGTTAACAAACAAATTTGTTTGTCCTCTTAATTTTTTGAAACCTTTTTACAATTAGTATGTTTTGTCTTTTGCAGATGGTCCCCGTCCTAATCAAAATGATATAATGTCCATTCGTGCTTACATTCTGTTATTTTTAAAGCAATTGATTTTAAAAGGAAATGGGGTCAAAGAAGATGAGCTACAAAGCATACTGAACTATTTGACTACCGTCCATGAGGTAAATTTTATTATTTCCTAAAATAAAATTTACCTAAATAATTACCTAACAAAAAATAAAATTTCCTAAAATAAAATTTAAGATTCAATGCTAAAAAAATGCTTGTTTTTCTTTCTAATTTTATTGATTTTAAAAAAAAATAAAAATTATTCTTACATACTGTATGCATTTTATATTATTTCTCACATTATGAAGTATATTTTTTGATTAATATTATTTTTTATGTATGAATAAGTTGGGGGATAATTGAAAATTAATCAAGACTTAACTATATTATGGGATGAAGAAAAAAAAAAGACTAAGAGTTATCCATTAGAAATATTTAAAGAAAAAAATGTTGTAAAATTGAAGAAAAAAAGAAATAAAACTACTATTCTTCAAACAAAACTTAAGTGCTAAAAATAGTATTTTCCAAAAAAGAGTATCTAGAAATGTTAAAAGAACTATAGCCCATAAAAGCAAGAGATTCTATATAGAAGCAAAATAGAAAAAATAAAAATCTATCTTTATTCTTGAAAAAAAAAAGAATTAAAGCTGAACATCTCAGTTTTCCAATTAATGAATTTTCAAGAAAAAATAAAGAAGAAAAAATAGAAATGGAATCCCTTTATAGAATAAACAGAAGAATATATTAAATAGTAGAAACAAAAATCCTTTTAATTGCTGCATCTTAATAATAATGTCAATATAAGCAGAAGTTTTTTGAAAATGAAAAAAGCTAGATAGATACCAAATCAAAAATCGCTCTTAATTTTGAAATGAAAAATTTGATGCTAAAAATCTTAATTTTACTTTTTCACATTGGTGTATTTTTAAAAAAAATGAAGTTAAAAAACAATGTTCGTTAGAAACGTTTTTCAACGAAATACTGTGTCATAATAAAAACACTGATAAAAAGAAAAGTTTAGAAAAAAAAGAAAAAATCTTATTTCCTAAAATAGAACTTTAATATTGAAAATCACAGTTTTCTATGTTACCATTTGTATCTCTTACTATACTGGGGAAAGGTGACAATAAAAAACAATCCTCTTATTAGAAACGTTCTGTTAAAATGCCGAGCTATAATAAAAACAGCAAAAACATTCACAATTCTTAAAACAAAAAGTGAAAAATGTGAAAACTTGACTTGATTGAATATAATTTTAAAAAAATCAGCAGTACAAAATATGTGGTTCAGTATAAAGTATTCTAATTACAATTCTTCAAATTTTGCTTTTCCTTTTGTCTTTCAGAATATAAAATTCGACAAGTTTTTGAATTTTTTTTTTTTTTTTTAAATTTTTGAAATATGTAAAAACTATTTCTGATAATGTTTAGTAAAACATATGTGTTAGATTATTCTTTATTAATCTATTTGAATTTTAAAAAAATTGTCAAGAAATACTTTGCCTAACATTTGACTGAATATTTGGCAAACTGGCCAAATACCAAATATTCGTTACATCCCAAATATAAAGTGTGCTACAGTTGCACCATGAAAAATTGAATATTAATATAAAATAAAAGGTGATTAGAAGAAAGCCTACACTTCTGCTTAGAACAATGTGGTTGTGGGTTTGAATATAAACTTCTCTAATAATCTGGTGTGCATACAATAAGGTACATATAAAATTATATTGACTGTGTGACTGAAACTGACCAGAATTAAAGTAATTCTTCTGATCAGGATTAAAGTAATTTACATTCCTTCCATGGCTTTTAAAAGAAAGATGTTTGAAAAGAGGCTAGGTGCTTGTCCATGATGGGATTTCTGGAAGACTCTTAGCTTAGGCATTTTAATTAAATTAGTTATGATTTAAGTATTGTTTTATTTAAGTATTGTTTTATTTAAGTATCATTGGATTTTATTTTAATGTTTGAGAAATAGTATTTAGAATGGACTTTGGATTAACTATTCTATTGTATACAGAAAATGTTTTTATTTTTATTAATTTTTCAATTATTATTTGCACTTGCAAGAACAGTAAATTAACTTCCTGTCTTGTAACAGCTTTTAAAGAACTGTAAATGGAAATTTTAATTTATAATGGGATAATGTGATACGGAGAAGCAGACACTGTAACAAACTAATAAATCTGTTCTCTGTTTAAGACTGAATTATTTAACCTTTACCTGGTATTATTAAAACCTTTACCAAAGTCGCTTGTTGATAAGTAATAAAGGTATTTTTATAACTGCAAACAAATGTAACATTAACTTGTTCTTTCATTATATATAGGATGAAAATCTTCACGATGTACTTCAAATGTTGATGTCGCTTATGTCCGAACATCCTGCCTCAATGGTTCCAGCTTTTGATATTAAAAATGGAATAAGGTATTTTTATTAATAATTTTTTTAAAATTATAACTGGGAAAAATGTATGAACCATAATTATTATAAAAGAATTTAAAATTAGCTTGCATACACATCAAATTAATGAATATTTTAAAAATATGTAAATGGGTCATTTTCATATGTAGGTGCCATTTGCTGCCCATCTAGAAAAGTATTTTTTTTTTTTATAGACATTTTAGGAAACTTAATGGTTTTTCTTATCATACTTTTTAACAGACAGTTTCTAGTGTAGGAAGTACAATGTTTTAAAGTGCTAATAAGAAAAAATTGTATCTTAAGGAAATTACATAAAAGGAAACTGAAAAAACAGCTGTCCAAAGCATAAGCACTAACATGTTGTTACATGAATTACACATTCCAATAACTAAACTTTCCACTCTGTTGTATTTTACAATTGTGTAAAATGATCAAAATTACATTATGATAAAATTGTAATAAATAAAAAGTAAATTTTTAATTAATATAATACAACTGTTCTGAAATTAATGTCATGACTGTTACCATACATATATTTTCACTTTTGAAACTGCACAATTGGAATTCCTTAATGGTAATACTTGTATACCAGTGACTCTTGTTTAGTAGTTAATATTTTTTGCTATGTCATGTCTGTTACCTTAATTAGTTGTATAAAATAAATTTATGGTTTTAACTTTAGTTCTTTCTGCAAAATAATTTCGTTTTGAGAGATTTTATTCTAAATCAAATAAAACATTTTATTTAATATATGATAGAATTTTTTTGCCAAATTTTTTTTCTTCTTTGATATGTCCTGTCTGTTACCATATTTAATAACAGACATGATATATGTGGTAACAGACATGATAAATGGTAGCAGACATGATTTGTCACAAGGTTTAAATTTTGAAGAGATTGTCTCCTTTTAGAACAAATTTTAATCAGAATATGGGATTCAGATTCTTAATTGCTAATAAAAATTCTCTTTACCTGAGCTTTTTAATCAAATTTAGCATAATTTACAACCATTATAATGCTAGGTTTTATATACTTATTTTAATGTTTAATACATTTCAAAGACTCAATAGCTTTTAGTGTAGCATAATCTAAAAACATTCAAAATGTTCTAAACACATTACTTTCTTTCCACAAAAAGATTTTTAGCTGGGCAACACTAGATAAAAAAAAAAGACTAATATCACACTTAACAACATGATGTAAAAGCAAAATAGATATCTTTAAGACAATTTAAAAAATATCGTCATAAAATCTAAGTAAAGAAAAATTTTTCTGTGAAAGTTTCATGCAACACATTTACTAGACTTCGTCTACTTTATGTATGTATTCCTTCCAACAAACAGCCGATGAAATACATATTACATGCAAATTTTAATGAAGCCAGCGATCAAATGAAATGGCAATGTTGGTCAAATAAATTAATGAGCAACAGAAAAGTAATACAGCAAAAGAAAAAGAGTTAATATTCTCATTATATTGAAAGAAATAATAAAGACTAATAAACAAATTCAACACTGATATAAGCAGACTCAAAAAAACACATTTTCAATATTAGACAGCAATATCATGCATATTAAAATTGATAAGAAAACCTTCAGCAAAATAAAGCAATGATTCACATTGACTTCTTAGATTATTATTTTTGCTAACTTGCCACAGAAATTCAAGTATGTCATCTTGGAGGTTCAGAACAACAAGCCACTTTACACACTAGAATTTATATTAAAAAACGAGAAAAGTTTCAGTTTTTTTCCCCACGCAATTTCACAGTCAGTCAGCTGCTATTTGGTCTCAACTTTAACCAATACTAGATCAGCTTAAGAAAATTCCACTAAAATTGGCACTTTTGACAAATTTACATTTATTATATATTTCGGATTACATTTATTTATATATTTCGGATATATTTATTTATATATTCGGATCTGAGCCCAAGTCTGCGGGTTCGATCTCCGGCCCAGACACCGGATTTTCGGGATGCAGAAAATCCTCAGCGGCCATGTTGTATGATTATGCGACATGTAAAATATCCCTGGAGTGCCTTATTGGCTCTTGGCATTTCCGGCAAAATTAAATTCCTAGTGCACTTTAGCATCCAAATAGAGCCTCGGTGCTGCCATCTAGTGTGGCAGAAACTAGACGTCCAAATTAACATGACCAACGGTATCTCACCCATTGTGGTGGTCCTGAAAGAGTGGATACCACCTCTGGAGAACGCACTAGGTCTGCTCATCGACAAGACCGATTGTGCAGCTCATTGGAAATGAAGAAAATATATATATATATATATTTCGGATGGTAACACAATGCGGAATAAGCAAATTTTTTTCCCTCCCTTTCAAACAAGCTCATAACAGAGAGCTATTTTAAATATGAATCATGATCATATTATGAAACTGGTCATGGCTAAGGTGCTACTGATAGTTTGAGCTGCTATTAAGTGAGGTGGTGACCAAGAAGTTTTACTGGTATAGAAATACCTGATGTAAAGACTCTATTCACTAATTTGAAAGATAAATTAAATAGTAAACTTCATTATACTTTAAAAAATTTCATGTCTGTTACTATTAATAATTTTTTTAATAAAATTTTAATTTATGCATTATTAATATTGTAAAAGGTTCATATTATTTCTTTTTATTTAATATAAGAGCAAATAATAGAGGTAAATCTTTAATTATGTTTTAGTGTACTTTGTGATAAAATAATACTTGAAATTCTTTTATTATGGTAAGAGACGTGACAAAAATAAATTTTGAAAAATTAAGCAATGCTTTTTGAATATACATTGTGTGCCGAGATTTAAGTGCTTTAATTTTATTAAACATGATATGATAACAGATATGACATTTTTCAACAAGTCTGATAAAAATATAGCAAGTGAAATATTTTTTTAACTGTTTAAAAAACATCAAAATAATATGAAAGATTTATATATGTTTAATTATTTTCAAAAATTACATTAGTCTCATAATTTTATTTATTTATCCTTCAATTTCTCAAATAGTTTTCTACGAGCCAAATTAGTGTTTAGAAGTTTTACTTTTGAATTAAAGAAATGGTACTATCTAATGATACTTTACTACACATTTTAGTTTATTGTTTTTTTTAAGTAACTATATTTATTTATTGCTATTTGCTATTCATTAGTTTCGGATTAAGTATTATTTTTTATATTTTCTTATGCTAATGCAAATTAAGTTAGCAAAAATGTCGGCATAATAAGTTTAATGCTTGCTGAATAATTTTCCTAAATTTTCACTTTTAATAAATGTACTATGTACGTTTTTAAGACAATAAACTACTTTCCCCCTTTTTTTTAATAAGAAATTGATCATTTTATTTATATTCTTAAACCTTTTATTTGCTTTGATATATGAAGAAAAAAAAATTTCTTCATAACCTACAAATCTGTCGGTAATAATAAAATAACTTGCTATTTCAAAAATTATTTTGAATCAATTTTTGCAAAATTTTACATTACTATTTCATGCTTAAAAAAAGTGACTCAGATTGAATTTTTATTTTCTAGATGTCTGCTTATTACATTTTTCTTTCTCAAAGGATTTCACTGCTTAAGTTTAAGCAAATTAATTCCTTTTTTTCCTGTTTTTAGAACTGTGTTCAAATTGCTTGCATCCACCAATGAGGTTATTCGCCTACAAGCTTTAAAACTGTTAGGCTATTTTTTGAGCAGAAGTACTCATAAGTAAGTTTGTTTTTAGTAGTTATTTGAAATAATCAGTTCATCATTCATGTGTATAAAGTATTCAAAACAGTTTGTGCCATGAAATTTTTTTTCGACTTGCGTTTGTATTTGTGCACTTTGAATGAACCATTTCAGCCATACCTTCTTCATGATTAACTATTATTTATTTGTAAAGATAGGAACTATTAAAATTGTTGTATTTGAAAACATCTATTTCCCTGGGAATGTGTAATTCTGGCTGAAGAATGTTATTTTTATGAATAAAATTTGTTTACACAAGATCACTAGGTTATTAATTTTTGCTAAAAAAATTGGCATAAATTTCTTTGGGTACCTGATTCATATTATACATTATGAAATCTTTCAACTTATATATTTCTCTTTTGTTACGTTTTTATCAGTTTTTAAAGGATTAGATGCTGAACAGCTCAATAGTGCCTTATAGTTTATTTTTCTGTAGTACAAGATGTTTGTAAATAAAACTGAAATTAATTACAACATTTCTGAAAACCAAGTTATTAAAAAATTAAAAGTCAAACTTCTGCTACGCAAAGACATGAAAATTCCTCTTGAATCACAGTCCCATTATGTTATTTGTGGTGATTTTCTTCTCATATAGCTATTATAATATATTTTTGCACTTTGCTGAAGTATTACGCATTTGATTCCTTGTAATATATCAAATTTTAGCAATATTTTTTTCTGAATAATAATCAATAAATTGAATTTAGACACACAGTTTTTAATTCTGATTAATATTAAAAAATAAAAGCCGATAATGGTTTGAATCTTTTCAGAAAGGGCTAGTTTTTTCTGAAACCCTGATATATAGTCTAGTGTTTATAACTGCAATATTTTAGAATTTAAATGTATTGACTCTCTAACTTTTTTTTTTTAATATATATATTTTACAGGCGGAAGCATGATGTGATGGGTCCTCATAATTTATATATGTTATTAGCTGACAGATTGCTTTTACATTCTGATCATATTTCTCTTTCAACATATAATGTATTGTATGAGGTAAATAAATTTTATTTATTTTAAAATAATTTATAATTTGTGATCAAATTAATTAAAAGAGTTCTTGTCTTTTCAATTTTCTTCATACCATATTATTATTTTTTTTAAAAGAAATATTTTTCTGTTAAATGAAATAATTCTTCTGAAGCACATTGAAGAAATTTGTATAATGCTACCAGATGTAAGAATAATAGGGATTTTGAATTGGTATTGAGGCAATTAACTTTTAATTTTTCACAGTTGTTATTTTTTATTGATGTTTTTTGTCTACCTAGTATTTTCATGTTTTCTTAACTAGTGTGTTCATTTGCTACAACTAATATTCTTTTGAATTGTTGCTTAACCTTTTAACTGTCAAGTTATTTTGATGAAAATTGTCAATTTTTTTATTACAAAAACTAAATGTTAAGTGCAAAATAAAATATACTTAGAAGTTAAAAATTGATGTTTTGAATTACATGCATAAAAATTTAAAGGTTTTGTAGCCACTGCAAATTTGTCTGCACTGCCACTCAATGTGGAAGTAGTAAAATGTGCTTCTAGTTTAGCAATATTTTCTAAAAATTAAAAGTTTTTTAAAAATTATTTTCGAAAAAAATAAATCATTTCTATAATGTTTTAAAGAACTGATCACCATTTTGCAAAAAAAAAAAAATAATAATAATTCTGCACACTTAGAACATAAACCTCCATCCTTTGAAATTTTTAGTAAAGTACTGCCATCTATCGTTCTAAAATGCATCTAAATTAACTTTTCGGGTGTGATAAAGAGATGATAACGTAATAAACTTCTCCCAATATATATTTGGGTATAATAATATAATGCACTGAAAAACAATTACCCCGAGTGATACTCTGGCATGACATTTTGGAACACCAGTGCTGTGCTCTAGATTATTTCTGGCATGATAGTTAAAAGGTTAAGTTAATGAAGAAAAACTCAGCAAATTTCTTTCTAGAAATATAGTATGATCCCTGTAATAGTAAAGATTTTTTGTAATTTTAATTACTGTGTTTTCAGAAATAACAGAAAATTTTGAAAGTTTAATCCTAACGGACTAATATGAAATTTTTTTCATTATTTTAATTCCAGATTCTAACTGAACATGTATCAAGCCAGATTCTGTATCAAAAGCATCCTGAGCCCGAATCTCATTATCGTTTGGAAAATCCAAGTTAGTTTATGAATCTGCTTATATAATTTATAAATATATTTATAACTAATTGTTATATAAATTATAAATTGGCATATTTGTTTTGCATTTTTATAAATTGTTATGTTCTTTTAAAATACAATCAAACCTTGACGTTATGAACTCGAAGGAAGACACAACGAATGCTATGATATCAAAAATTCAGAATGAAAATCCATTTACATAAATTGAATATTTTTTAATGATATTTTCAAAATTAAATGCAGACATTTTTAAAAGTTTGTATTGCAAAATTATTTATTTCAAAAAATCTTCCCTTTTTTTTAAAAATTTGATTTCATGTTTGGCTGAAATTCTGCTTTGTAATCTTTCTTTTTATCTATAGTGGAACCCCACTTTTTGCATTTTCTGCTGGAGTACCATTAAAAAACACACGAAGCAGGAAAACCTGGATAAATAAAAGCATATTTTTCAAAAACATCACGCATTCAAAAACAAACTAGTAGAAAAATGTGTAACATTTACTTGTTTTTAGATATTATTTCAACACACAATCCCATACAGTACTTATTGTACTTTGCAAATTTGCTTTTTGGTTTACAAAAGCAAATTTGTAAACCATTCTTGATATTAGCTTTTTGGTATTAGCAAGTAAATATTGTATCAGAATTTTCATGCTTTGGAACTCTTGATCAAATTTGGGCATATTTTTCGATATTTTGTACTCATCTTTTTGGATTTAATTACTATCATCGGTAGCAAGCATTAAATCAGATATTGAAGGAAATGAAAAGTAATCAGATGTATGTTGCAGTCGATATACGCTTTATCCCTTAATTCCTTAAACCTCCCTTCCTGTGCTTTTCCTTTCCCACATTTTAACAACTTCCATAAGGACAACAATATGATCGAAAGAATGTCAGAATAGCTTCAAACAGCTTTTAAACAAATGTGTCTATCTAAGAAGTAGGAAAAAAAGAAAGTAAGTGCTTTGAAAAAGTTAGTGCGAGCTTTGTTGAGAAAATATGATTTTGATCTGCTAGAAAACTGTATAAAGCAGGACTTTCTTAAGAAGGGCAATGCAAAATCTGGAGTAATTTATGTAGGCAGTTTTCACAGACCAGCAGAAAATGACGTAGGCAGCGAAATAACAAAATGGACAATGTAAAACCGGGGTTCCACTGTGTGTATGTTTGCATATATATATATATATTTAAATACAGTTATAAGCTGGCAAACGTCACTAATGTTATTATTTAAATAATTGTTAAAACAGAATCGTCTGCTTTCTTATGATTTTTTTAAAATTTTTTATTTCTTTTTCTTTCTAATGATATGTTTCATATTTTCTAGTGATTCTAAAAGTAATTGCTACTTTAATACGTCAATCAAAAACTTGTGAAGAACTTATGGAAACAAAGAAACTATTTCTCTCTGATATGACATTGCTTTGCAACAATAATAAGGAAAACCGAAGGTTTGTTTCATAAATTTATATTATTAAAATTTAAATTTATCTTTCAAGTAAAATAATCTATTAATAAAATGCAATTCCAAACATATAATTATTTCAAAACTTTTGTCCAGAAAATGGAATATCCTTAATTTTAATTAAGTTTTAAAAACATAATGCATTTCAATAGAATTCCTGTGAAATTTGTATTTAAATTGTACATGTTATAAAGCTGCATGGAAGTAAAAAAAAAAAAAAACAATTTTTAAAAATTAATTCACTTGTTTTCTTTTTGTAATTGCACCTGTTCAAAATTATTTGAAACTGTTAACTAAATCTACTTCTTCTTAATAAACTCCTTAATTTTAGAATTTTATGTTTTTAATTATTATCAATGCTCTCTAGTTTATGCCTACATATAAGATATTATATCTCTGTGTGATTAACTCAAATATATTAGCAAATTTGAGATAAAAGTTTGAAATTGAAGCTAAAATGATAATTAGTCTTTTTAATTTTTTTACAAGTGAATAGGAATGGAATGAAAAAAAAACATATTTTAGAAATAAATATTTAAAGAATAGTTTAAATGTCTTTTGAAGACATATCTTTAACTCTCTTCTTATCTTATTAATTTGTATAATTAGGTGGGATTGCTTATTGGAATTATAATTTTCTTATTTAGAAATTATTAGTCTTCTTGTTATATTTTTAATGCTTCTTTTTACCTAAAAAGTTCAGGCTAATGAGGTAAATAGCAGTTTTTTTAAAAATTTATTTATAATATTGTATTGAAATATTTTCTGATAAATTTATTTTTAAATGTGACTAAATAAAGGCAAAAAAATGTAAAACAGATTTGTTTTGCTAAGAGATTTTGTTCGAATCAATCAAATGTTTTATATTTAAGGACCGTACTTCAAATGTCTGTTTGGCAAGAGTGGCTCATAGCAATGGCTTATATTCATCCTCAAAATGCCGACGAACAGAAGCTTTCTGACATGGTTTATTCATTGTTTCGAATGCTCCTTCATCATGCCATAAAATATGAATATGGTGGTTGGAGAGTTTGGGTCGACACTTTAGCCATTGTTCATTCAAAAGTAAGTTTTTCATTTTTTTCAAAACTGCATTTAGATGTAATGCAGCTTTACCGTGTAGTAATAAACGCTTAAATGTGAAGAAACTGAAGGATCAATTGGGGTCTACCCTAAGAGTTAGAATGCAATTTTTATTTCTAGCTGGTTTTTTCAAAACTGATCAAACTCTAACTGTACAATTCATTGTATAGTTTCAAACTCTAACCGTACAATTCATTGTATAGTTAGTGATGAGAAGAAAAGAGTTTTAAAACCAAAATTTCTAAATATTTTAAGCAAATAAATGTGTTCATTTATCTTCCTTTTGCATTGTGAATATTTTTGCAGTAAATACATAATTTTGATCATTATTTTTTTTATTGGTAGTTTATTAATTTTATATCCATTATTTTTTATTACTTACTTTATACGCATTACGTCATTATTTGATATTTTATAATGACCCGTATTCTTTGTTTTCCGTTATCTGTCGTTCAGAATGAATGGTCCTATAAAAAATTATTGATCAAGATTCCACTGAATTTTATTCATAAATTGATGTATTTGCTAATGAATACTTTCAAGTATATTGTTTTGATAATTTGTCTCTAACCCCAGTAAATGATAAATATTAATAAATTGTTATATAATTTATTTTTCTAGGTATCATTTGAAGAGTTTAAGTTGCAGTTTTCTCAGATGTACGAACAGTATGAACAGCGGCGATCAGATCACATAACAGATCCAGCACTTCGGAAACAGAAGCCCATCAGCACAATCTCAGGATTAGATAATAATAATCGTGCCTTAAATGTTATTAATCCACCCAGACCTGATGTCATTCAAAAAGAGCTAAAGGACAATAATTCAGTTGTTGACAATTCAAAAGCAGCTAACCAGACTTCTTTATCATACACTATTGAAGGAAAGGAAGATGTCATTGTTGCAGAAGGGGAACTCAGTGATGTGAAGTTGGTTTCATCTAGTATAGATAGCTCAAGAGAAAACCCCATACCTGTACAAACTTCAGAAACCTATGATGTGAGTAACAAACCAAATTATAACAGTAGTCTTTGTGAGGCTCTTTTAACTACAGATGACCATCGGCCAGTTCCCGTTTCTTCTGATGAGAGTGGAATAATCCATCCTCTTCATGCTGAACCATGTGAAATCCAAGATGCCGTTGAAGACAATGCGGAAGAAATTTCCCAAGTGAACGAACAGGAAAGATCTCCCTCGAACGATCCTCACGAGACAGAGTCACAGTCTCCTATCAGTGCCAAAACAGAAACCGAGTGTGCAAACTCACCTGGTGACTCTGGCTTTGTTTCAATTGTAGATTCTGAGGAGTTGAAGAACAAAACCGTTGCTGATGATGAGGTGATGTGTGAGAGTGAACTTGTTCCTGATGACGAGGTGATGTGTGAAAGTGAACTTGCTCCTGATGATGAAAGTGCAGCTACTGGAAGGTCTCCTGATGAATTACCTCACGAGACTCTGGATGACGACCAGATTATGAAATCTTTTGATGACAGCGAGCTGTTAACTTCAGAAGCAGTTTCATATCTAGATGATCAGAAGTGTGATATAGATGAAGGTATGCAGCTAGAACAAGATATTGAATTAAATTCGCCAAATGTAGATTCTGTTGGTTCCCCTGAAAAAACACATATACCTGATGTTGAACAAAAAACTGATCTAGGTGTTGAAGATGTTGAAATTTCTGAAACTGGCAATGATTCAAATTCTAAAATGAATTTTGAGGGTGAGATACCATCAAATGAAACTGCAGCTTCTGTTGAAGAAATATTGAGTGAAAATTCCAATGACTTAACATCTGATATTGCTGTTAGTGAAACTCCTATTCAAATCTCTGAAGAGTGTGAACTGGAAAAATCAATGGAAGAACAAAACAGACAGGAAGAGGCTCCAGAGGAGTCTACTTTATCTTTTGAACCAGATCTTTCAGAAACAATAGAGAATTCATTGCCCACTCCTGAAAGTTCACCACTACATAAAAGTACAGAACTGGAAAATCAGGATAAACCTGAATCTTGTAAAAATTCCCCTAAAAAATCTGATCAAACTGAATTAGAGAAAAATATTTCAACTTCACCACTCCCAGAAAGTGTCAAAACTGTGATATCAGAATCTGAAACTTTATCAGATATCAATGCTGTTTCATTTTCAGAACATACTATTCAGGATACTGTACTTGTTTATAGCGAAGGAAATGGCTTGTGTAAAGACTATGGCATTGAAACAGTTAAATCATCTGTAAGGGAGATCACTACTGCCCATGAGTCAATTGCTGATTCTCAAATTAGTCTTCAGAATGCTCAAGAAATAGTCAGCGATTCACAGTCTGATGTACCCATTCCAGAATCTGTTAGATCACCTGAAAAATCTCAAGAACCTACAGATAGTGTGACATCTCAAACAGAAATCCAGGACACTGTTACTGATGTGAAAGATAATGCAGCCAGTGAGGAAACATGTCCTGGTTCAACAGAATTTGAAGAAAGAGAAACTGAAAATAATTCAACTGTAATAAGTACAATTGAAGGACATTTAGAAAGAGAAAGGAAGCTGATGGCTGAGGCTGGAGATGAAAAAATGAACGATTCTCCGTCAGCTGAAATTCCTGTTCCAAAAATCGCTTCTGAAACAATGATCCCTGATCCTGTTAATAAGAGCGCTCCAGAAGTGAACACTCCAGATGCAGTTGCATCTACTGGAGAAAGTACCCCATTACCATCAGAGATAGATGTTGCTCCTACTAGACGTGGTAGAAGTGTAACTCTGCCTCGCAAACAGATACCGCCTACAATACAGAGGCCCAAGTCCATGTCGTTAAGTCAAAAGTCATCAAATGGAAATGGGCGTCAAATGTTCAATTCTGGGCCGACAAGACCACCGTTCAGAATACCTGAATTCAGGTGGTCTCCTATTCATCAACGATTGTTATCTGACTTACTATTTTCATTGGAAACAGATATTCAAGTGTGGAGAAGGTAAGTTTGCTTTTAAAAGACATTTTAATCATTTGTGCTTCTTGTGTTATCATCAACATATTTGGCATGATATCCCAGGATGGGCCCTAATCTTCTGTTGAAGATTCCTCCAGGACAACTTATTTTATTTTATCTTAACTACCAATTCTTTACCCCAGAAAACTCCCCAATTGTGCTCTCATTATTTTGGCCTTTATCTTTTCCTTTGTGTGAAGGGCTTTGGAACAAAAATCCTCTTTCCTGGATTTTTTAACTACCAATCTAGAAATATGAGCTGCTTAGTTCAATTTTTTACCTTTAATGCTTTCAATAACGTCAGCTCTTTAAAAATTTTATAAATTTTAACTTGAAGCATATCACAAAAGGCCATTTATAATTATTGCTTAACATTGATTTGAAGTGTCATATTTATATACAGTAGGGAACCGATTATCCGGAACGATCGAGACCTTGGCTATTCCGGATAACTGATTTTTCCAATTTTCTGAATAGATACAAAAAGCTGTTTTTTTTATTGTTAAACCCAGCTAAAAAAAGCAAAAATAGTTGGAAATAATCGTAAAAGGAGGGAAAAGCGATGAAGTAATACACTATTGATTATTTCCAAAATGATGGTAAGGTAAACATCTTTCAAAAAAGAAAGAAAAATCCTGAAATCTTATGAGGAAAAAAAATTTTTTTTTTAAAAATGGCGGGAAAATTTATCGCATGTTTTTTGGTTTTCCGGTTTTCTGATTTCTGGATAACGGGTTTCTATACTGTACTATTATGTATCTAATTTACTTTCTTGCCTTAAGCCTGACAACACATGCGAGTATGGTTAAATAAGCTGAACTGTAACCAGACTGTTCAACTTTAAATATTCTTTTTTTGCTGTGTCCTTAGGAAAATATATTATACCTTAGGTTTTTAACTATCTTGTTGGAATAATTTTTTTAAAAATTCATTCAAAACAATTTTTTTTGTAGTTTTTTTTGCAACTTTTTTACTATCATTTTTGTATTTTAATTGCCAAATATCTGTTCTTTATATAGGTTAAAAATAAATGCAAATATTCAAGAAATCTGTACTAATTAACACTATGAAATCAGGCATAAAACTGAAAGGCACAAATAGTTGATTTTTTTTAATGATTATTATTCTTTTGCCTTTTTTAGTAACTCAATGCTTAGTCAAAATATGTTTTTAAAAGTTTAACTCATCAAAATAAAGATTATCTATGCTTAGCAACATTCGGCATTAGTCATGCTGCCGAATCGTCATAATATACAATCAAGTAATTTTTCAAATTTATTTTACTCTTTTAGTACATAGCTTAATACAGTAGGGAACCGATTATCCGGAACGATCGGGACCATCGCTATTCCGGATAACTGATTTTTCCGGTTTTCTGAATCGCTACAAAAAGCCGTTTTTTTAATTGTTAAACCCAAGTAAAAAAAAAATTTTTGGAAATAATCTTAAAAGGAAGAAAAAACGATGAAGTAATACACTAATGATTATTTCCAAAATGATGGTAAGGTAAACATTTTTCAAAAAAGAATGAAAAATCCTAAAATCTTATGAGGAAAAAAAATTTTTTTTTAAAAATATTTATCGAATTTCGTTCCGGTTTTTTGGTTTTCTGATTTCCGGATAACGGGTTCTGTACTGTATATATATTTTTTAATTTTATTTACCTTCTTGTTTTTTTAAAAAATTTTAATAACCCTTTGTTTAAATTTTAATTACTATTACATTGTTTAGTTTTTTTTAAACATTTCAAAAGCGTAATTGTAAACAAATAAAAATGCAGTGTCAGGTAGCTTTAAAAGTGATTTAATGACACTGCCTTTACTCGCCTACCACAACTTGTTTTTGATTAAATAAAGTTATAAGCTGGCAAACGTCACTTATGTTATTATTTAAATAATTGTTAAAACAGTACCGTCTCCTTTTTTTTAATGAGAATTTCAAAATAAGTGTCAAAATTTTTGTAGATAACTTCAAATATTTATTGTTGAGGTAGGAGGACTCCAGGAAAACTCTCATACTGTACTTATTCAATTTTAAAAATTATTCATAAGTTAAATTTTGATACTTAAGGTTAGTAATAATAATGACTCAATTTTTAAAAAGAAAATTTGCTTTGCTTTTAGCAAACTCGTTGGTTATGTTAATGAATTTATTTAGATGTTTTGAAAACAAGAACTGTTTAAATATCTGGCATCAATATTTCTTTGAAATTTTGAAGCTTTGGATTTTATTTTGGCTGATTTTTGCCTTCCACCTTAGGTTGCTTTTTTTATTATATGACATACTATCCATCTAAGATAGTCATCTGTTTTTGTTGCAAATGTAGACTTTTAAGAAAAAAGAAATGAATGTAAAAACATAGGGAGTTGGTGAGCAAACTGAACCGTTGAACAGGGAGCAGAGCCTCTCACTATTACTTAAAATTATGTACGTATGTTAATAATTTGTGTGTACGGATATTTTTCTCCTCGCATAAATAAACTTTGAAGATACATGATAATACTACCAGTTTATTTTTTCCTTTTATCTTATCATGTTACACAAGGGTGTCACTCTTCAGTCCTAGGAACAGAAATCAGTCTTGAGTAAAAATCAGTAGACTAAATTTCATCAACTAATATTGCTTTTCCATTTGTTTTTAAATTAAAATGTCCTATTTTCCTTAAAAATTTAGTAAATATTTTCTGTTTAAAATATAATACATTTTAATGAAAACATTGTTATTTTTCATAATTATTGTATAATGATCAATTATTGATACCACACTGAAATGAAAAAATGTGATAGATGCTTCTATTCATTTTAATGAAAACATTGTTATTTTTCATAATTATTGCATAATGATCAATTATTGATACCACACTGAAATGAAAAAATGTGATAGATGCTTCTATTACACAAGTATTCAGAAACATAAAAGTTATGCCAAAAATGAGTGTCTATAAACAATGCTTCACTGCCTGCTTGCTTAACAAAATTTTTACTGTTGTTTAGAAATTTGTTTCAGTTTTTACTTTACCCCAATGTTTTGAAATGCTGAAATAAGGTAAGTTTTTTTTGTAAGAAAAATTCAAAAATAACGATGAAGCAAAAAATAAGTAGAAATGTGAATTGCTTCATGAAAAAATTAGTGGTTTATTATTCAGTGATTGGTGTAAAAAGATGTATAGAGTTAGCTGTTATTTTTATCTTAATTCCTCTAAAAAAATTAATAAAATGAGAAATTTTTAGAAAGATAATCAAATCCTTGATTAAATGCATGTGCCATTATCATAGAAAGGTACGTTTCTGAGTCCGCAAGCTATAAATTTCTGAAAATTCGGGTAAACAATGTTGGATCATGTTAATTGGTCAAATAATAAGTTTAATCTTAAAATTGTTTGAAAGTGGCACCCATGTGTTACAGCCAGCCATACTATATATTCAAGAAAGCATTGCATTACATAGCTGAAAAAACTTGTTAAAAACTTCCTTAGAGCATTCAATAGATTAAATTATCTGTTTCTTACTTTTTAAAATTTTTTTCTAGTTGTTTATTTTGACTATTTGATATTCATCAATATAAAGTAGTTAACCTTTTTCTTTTTTTGCAGCCACACTACAAAAACTGTGATAGATTTTGTTAACAGTGGAGAAAATGCAATATTTGTTATTAACACCGTTCATTTAATATCTCAAGTTGCTGACAATATAATTATTGCCTGTGGTGGTCTTTTACCTTTGTTAGCTTCTGCAACCTCACCAAACGTACGTTTTTCAATATTTATGTTCTTAAATATTGTTTATGTTCTTAAATTATGTTCTTTAAAATCTATTCTCTGTGTTTTTTGAATATGTCATTTTTGTTAATAAGTGCAATCTATCTTTGAAAGCTAAATGATTTTAAATATTTTGAAGAAAATGTTAAGTACAAAAAATTTTGAGATTGTGAGGCTTAGAGATACCAAGTTCAGAACTAAATACGTTCTAGAAACGTTCAGAACTAAATACGTTCTAATGATAGTTGACTATATGTCTAAATACAACAATGATAATTTTATTTTTAAAAGTAAGACAAAAGTATTTATGCATTAAATAGAAAAGAATTGGTTTACACTAAACTTACTTTGTGATTTTTCCAAAAAAATTTAATTTCTATTTCGAATTTTTTTTTACATAACCAAGTTTTGAAAAGAAACTCTGTGACATAGGAATTCAACTTAGCATTAGGTGGATGTATAAAGTCAAGAAGAAAAATATTTTTATGACGTAACAAGGTTTTCGAGATATCGAAGTTTGAGGTATCGAGAGTGTACTATATTAAATTTAATCATTAAAGTATTGTAGTTTTGCTAAGTATGAGAAATTAAAATTTGAAATTAATTTTATATAAATTTTATATTAAATTAATTCATTTTTACTATTATATAGTCTTAAAAAATGATAATTTGATAAATAATTATATAAAATTTCTTCTCTAGCATGAGCTTGATGTCATTGAACCAACACAAGGCATGTCAATTGAAGTGGCTGTAGCATTTTTACAGCGTCTTGTAAATATGACCGATGTTTTAGTTTTTGCATCATCCTTAAGCTTTAGTGAATTGGAAGCTGAGAAAAATATGTCCAGTGGAGGAATATTGAGGCAGTGTTTGAGATTAGGTAATGCTTTCCATTCAATCTTTCTGAAACAAGTGTGTTGACAATCAACATTAGTGAAAAAAACATTTCAATTCATATTCCTGAGTCCCGCAGTGGACTGATCGTAAAGGCACGGTTTCCAGTAGTACGCCGAAGTCAAGCATCACTGTTTGCAGATAGTAATCAGGGTGGGTGACCACTTTTATCAGCCTGCGTAGGGACCGAGGGTGTGTGGTATCGGTTCTTGTTAAGCTGTTATACTGTAAAGTGCTCGATTTCATGTGCAGTTCATTAGACTATAAAGGCAGAAGAGCCATCCCCTCTGCAGAGGATCAAAATTGCAATGGCATGTCTTCTTATCATCCTCAGGGATGTTTCCCAGACTGTTGCCAATAGCTTATTGTGCAACTCTAGTGTGACTTAAATAAAGTACCTACCTACCATAATCCTGATTCAGACGCATATAAAAATGTTCTGTCAATTGTATTAACTACCAATACTTATTGGTAGATACATATTGATGGATGGTGGAATTGCGGTTTGGGATGTTTCTCTCGGCACTGTCTGGCCGTTTTGGTTCGAATTCTTGGTAAGCTGAACATGGAGGTTTAGTACATTATTTTGGATGACAGTGTGACTTCTTAGTGACAGTTTTAAAGATTGAACTTAACTTACTTCCAAAAAGACAATGTTAGCTCTTATGTTGAAAAGTTCACCCTGGATTTGCCATGTGGAAATGGTATTAACCAAATTATTTAGTCTGCTCAAACCCTCAACCTGAATCAAATTAAAAACCTCTGTGTCAGGTTTGATTACCAAATTAAGTGAGGCAACAATTGTCTGGAACTACCAATATCGTAAAATACTGATTAAGCCTCACCCCAATTTTAATGAAAATCAACATGAAGGAATAAACAATAACAAGGAAAAAATTGCAAGTATAAAACAAGTAAAAGTAAAGAAATTAAAATTAATTAATTGTATTTTAAATAACATACTTTTCATCTTTGCTCTTCTTTTTCAAATCATTATGATTGCATTATCAAAAGCAACTAGCAAGATGTCAAAACTCAAAAGAAAAATTTTTTTTTTAATTAAATCTATTTCTAGTCAGAATCGAAAATGATGTGTCTGAAATCCCTTAAATACAAATCGTAAGGTTTGAAATTGCTTGAATGGGAATCGCTATGTGCGATGTTAAAACGTCCTTAATAGGAATCACGATATTGAATATTAAAGATGCGTGAATATGAATCACGCCGTTTGCTTATTAAATCTCGTAAATTTGAATCGTAATAACTACTCTTTAAATTTTGTGAATGCAAATTTTAATGTTTAGCTTTTAAATCAAAATCGATATTTGATATTAAAATCACATTAACTTTGATATTTGATTTTAAAAATGCATAAATAAAAATCGTGATATTGGATTTTTAAATCATGGGAATATGAATCACAATGTTTGATTTTTAAATTAATTGAATTTGAATCACAATGTGAAATTTCTTAATTGCGATATTTTATTTTTTTAAATCGTGTATACACTCCTGATAGTTTTCAATAGTATCTTTGAAATGTTGGAATTCTCATGGGTGTATCCACTCATGGCGTGTACGTATGCATCAATATTATCTGACTCTGGATGTGGGAGATATGTAGGAGCTTAATTTGGCTTTGATCGCTCATCAAAATTCTTATAAAACTATAGGGGGGGAAGCTTTATCAAATCTGGGGAACTTGTTTTGTATTTTACTGTAAGCATTTGAATACCTTGTAAAAATTCAAATCAAAATGTATTCATATTTAACAATTGGCCGTTCTTCGAGCTAGGTTTTTTAAAAGTTCTTGTGTGACAGAAACTCCACCTTTGCCAATTTGCATGGGCAGTCCCAATACTTATTACTAGTATATTGTGTCTCCTTTGAACAACTTTGCAGAAAAACAAAAAAAAGAAACATGTTTAATTTGTTCACCATTTGTGTCAACATATTCCTCACATAAAATGCAGTCAGGAGAGTCAGCGAGTCCAATATGGTGTAAATTTCCTGTGGAAGCCCTGTAGAAAGTAGTGTCCACTCAGAAGCCTGAAATGGCAAACCTCAATAGCCCTAGGGAGGCTCCTAGAGACAAATGCTGTTAAGAGGATCTCCCAAGAGCTCGTTCCCTGTAAAAAGTTGATCAGAGCTCCCGCGGGCAAGAAGAATAGTAAGAATCTGGAATTGTCTGAAAATTTTATTTTAACTCTAAAAAGCAGTGGACAAAAAACCTGGAAAATTCCTATATTATACCTGGGAAATTAACCAGTCTTAGAATATCAATAATCAGCTATTGAGATTCGATTTAAATAACTCTAACCTCTATTACAATTATTTTATAAAATTCCACCTTTTAGTGAAACTTTTCCATGTTTTGTTTCTTATTCTATTATGTGCTTTTGCTCATAAAATCTAATATTTGATATTACAAATTTAAAGAAAATAAGAGTTTTCTGATGAAAAATAGCATGGTAGAGATAAAATATAGTATGTATTTTCATTTAAATTTACCTGATATACCTGGAAAAGTCGGAATTTTTTTTTCTTCTGAAATTGAGTAGAAACCCTGTTGATCATTGACTTCTAATTTTTTGTTTTATTAGTAGTTTAATATTTCTCAGATTAGCTAGAGACGCAGGAGGTTCTAAGAGAGTTGCCTTCTTGTGTGGATTTTTGCATTTCCCTACAAGCTAAGAATTCATTGTAGAACTATTTCCTTTCCAGTACAGTGTTGATGATACTTGTACAATTAAATTCAATGGATATAGTTTGTGATTGTTAAAATTTCAGTTTAACAATCTATAAGGACAAATTTCTTTTCAGACCTCGCCAAATTCGTTTGGATTGTCATAAATTGCATACATTTGTATGCATGTCATACATAGTTTGAATTTTGACTTAAAGGCTTTTTGAATTGGAAACTCTTTGAGAAAACAGCATCTCTCGGAAGTTCTCTTAGCTGAGCCACCTGTATAGATCTGTATCCAATTGTTAACAGGTTTTATTGATGGTGGCAGGAATAGCCACTTAAAGTTTTCCCCGTGGAAAGATTCCTTTCTAAACAAGAAAGACATGGTCAAAGACTTTAATAAGATTATTAAATATGTTAATTTCAGACACAAATCAAACCTTTTTGAATGAGCTAACTTTAAAATAATTAAGTTTCATTATTTAAGCCAAGTATTTTTCTCCTCACACGTGGGTCGTTTTGGCAATGAACGTGCTGATCAATTGGCAAAAGAAGGTACTTCCCTTCCAGCCTCTCCAAACACGGCCCTCATTTACTCTGAATTATTTTCAAATCTAAAGTTAATAAAGCTTGGCTTGTTCCACCGGATCACAATTGGTATCCCCGCAAGCGTCCTGGAGGAGCCCTTGACCTTCAGGGTACACGTGCCAACCAAACCACTAGCTGTAGATTTGTCAGTGGGCATACTAAGAGCCTCACTTTCAGTGGACAAATTAAACTTTTTCCAACTTGTAAAAAGTGTAACTCCAGCAAGGCTAGTTCTCACCATTTACTTGATTGCCTGGATTTCACCATGGAAGAGGTTCTTGAGAGACCTCTCCTTTTCCTCGATTTTTTGAAGATTCACGGCTTCATGGATCTGGTATAGCTCTGGGATTGGAAACAACAACATTTTTCTTGTGGTGAATGTCCATTAATACTTTTGATGCTGTTATTTTACTTTTTTGTCTGTATTTAGCTGAGTTTTCTTTAGTTATTGTCTTTTAGTATATACCCATTAATTTAGTAAAAAAAGATGTATTTAACTTAATATTATTGTTCTCTTTTTAAATTAGTGTGTACTTCAGCTGTCCGTAATTGCTTGGAGTGTCGTGAAAGAAGTTTGCCACAAACACCTGTGTTACCTCACCCTAGTGCCAACATGTCCAGAGATGGCTTAAGGCCCTCCCCTATCCAAGCTTTGATTGGTGGCGTTCAGCCATCAGCCAAGGTGGATTTTGTATGAAATAATTTTGCTTTTTTTATGTGTTTGTCCTGTGCTTGTTGAATGTTATAAGAGCTCTTATTTAAATTTATTTGTTTCAATTATTGCATGAATATCTATTAGTGCTCTGTATTCAAACACACATCATCCATAATTTGAGTTTAAAGTAGGGAGAAAAATTAGCTTCTTCATTAAATTTACTGCATGAAAATATGTAAGATGCTACTTTAATTCTAATAACAAAATGATTCATTTGTTTGGTAAATGCTAAAATATTTCTTCAATATCTGAGATTCGAACAAAACTGCGTACCCATTCTTGAATATTTTAGCCCTGTATTAAAATAGTTAGTTACCCCACAGTTAAAATAAATTCTAATGCTTCCAAAATTAAAACTTTTTTTAAAGGAGTTCTAAATAAGCTTCATATATTCTTTAAAAAACTGTCTGTTTTTTGTTTGTTTATTTATTCATGCTTTTTAAAGAGATCTCCTATGTGTCTCTATCAATTATTTTGAACTAGAAATAGTTGTGTAATCTTTTTTAAAGACAGCTTCTTATTGTGTAAATCTTAACTGCAGACATTACAAAGACATTATACATTATAAAGTGGCTAAGCCAATAACTTTGGATTGTTTTTGCTGTGATCGAATATCTTTGCAGCATTTCATTGTGGTGTTAAATAGATTAAACTAAAAATTCCAATTAATCAACAAATTTTTGGAGAAACAATCGAAAGGTTAATTTGGTGATAAAATATCATTGCCCCCTCATTGTTTTTATTTGAAAATTAATTAATAAAAGGTAGATTCAAAGTTCTGGGATATAAGGGAATTGTTTTTGTATTGTTACTAATTCAAATATGAAATAATTTAAAGTAAACACCAGTACTTATAATATTTTGTTGTGGATATATATATATATATATATATACTCTATGTTTGTTATGACTAAGACAGTTTGTTATATATAATTTTAAGCAATCATCAACTGTTTTTTCTTCTTCTAATTTTTGTTTCTCTTCTTTGTTTCAATTTCTATAATTTCGAAAGAAGCTTGAATAAGCAAAACTCTAAATAATTGAGTGTTTAATGCTTATTATAATATCTTTTTATGATTTATTTGTTTTTTCCCCTCTTATTTTATTAGTGCATTTACTGGAACTATGAGAATTGTTATTATTATTTTGCTGTGCATGCGTTTACACTTTTTTTTTATTGCAGTATACTTTTATCTCTTCATATTAGACTTTTTATTATGTTTAGAGATTTTTTTTTCCTGACTTTCAGAATATCGTGGAAAACCTAGGGGGGCAGAGTAGTCCTATTAGAGATCCCGAAAAACTCTTACAAGATATGGATGTTAACCGCTTAAGAGCAGTTATCTATAGAGACGTGGTAAGATATCTATTTTATTAAATATAACATTTCATATTCTATTTCTCAACCATATGTTCATTTTTAATAGCTTTCGTGTAATTATTCTTGATTCTCAGAACTAAAAGACTAAAAAAAAGGATGAAAAATTGAAAAAATAAGTGCTAATTTTTATTTGTTGTTAATAACGAGGTAATAACTTTTTGTTTAAAGTTGTTATTCTATGTTATTGGTGAAATGTGATGCTTACATCGGATATAGTTAAAAGTATTTTTATAATTTTCATTATAATAGAACCTCAATTAGATTTTATCTTATGATACTTCAGTTATTTATTGTTTCTACCGACATCTTTACTGTTTAAAATTATCCTAACATACATTTAATCATTATTGCATATTACAAATATTAAAAATGACTGTTAGAAAAGGATAATTAAACAGAAATATATCAATAATCTTTTTTCCATGATATTTTATCATTGCAAATGTAGTACAAAATAAAAAACGAGCGTTTTTTTCTAATTTTATTAAAGTTGCTAATTATTTTGAAAATTTTTCTCATAGTTTAATGTTTCTGCAAAACTACTTCCTGATTTTCTGGTGATTCTAATTTTCCAGCATAAACCTGGTGTCGTGGTGGTCGTGGGTGTCGGATAATTAGGGATCTACTGTTTTTTCCAAAATAGTAATAAATACTTTATGTATAATTATAAAAAACACTAGTTTAAAACCATTAATAAAAGTAAGGAATTTATGTACTATATATCTTATTTATCGTCTGTAATACAAATTGAGGCATAGGGTATTAAGTAATTATGAATTGATTTCTGAATTAAATAACATTTATTAAAATTCTTTTTTAATAGCATTTAATACATTTTTACTTGAAGTTTCCAATTTACTGTAATTGATTGAGAAAAAAAGGGAGCAATTTCTATAAATTATGTGATTGTTTCTTATTGATAACATGTTTTAAACATTTGTTTATTGTGGCTGTGCAAAAGCTTTTTTATCATTCAAGATGATAAAATTCATTTAGTATAGTTCTAATGATTGTATTTAAATATTAATAAGTTTGAGAATTTTTCCTAATATTTTAATTTAAAGTTTTTTTGTTATTACAAATACAAAAAAAGTTGTGATTTTTATAATATTCATTCAAAGAAATGAGTATGGAGTATACTTTTTGCTACATTTGAATAAAGCAAGACAGAATGTACATGATGAATTACTGTACTTTTATTTGTGCTTTATTCACAGAGTTTTGCTTTATTCATTTATTCCATTACTTAATTTTTGTAACTTTATAATTTTTACTCAATATATTTTACTCATTTCATAACTCAATATTTCAGTCATTGGCATAAGTAAGGACATATATATGTGTTAAAAAAACCTCTAATAAGTCTTTCTATATTAAGGCTTTGTTTAAAGTCTAATTAATTAAAGTCAATATTCTGAACAAAGAGCTTTTTCATAATTATGGATTTATTTCTTGTTGAATGAACATCCTGTATGCCAGCACACTTAACCATGTACTTTATGATGTATATAATTTCTGTAATCTTTGTTAATTGAAGAATAATGGATATTTGAATCTCATAATTATGGATTCTTTTCTTGTTGAAAATAATGCTTGGATTTTTTTAAAAGCAATTTTCATGACTAGGTTTTTCCTTAAGGAATTGTATGACCTAGATGAAAGCCATTAAAAATTATAAATTTTTTGACTTGGTGGTGCATGAGTAAGACAAAACAGGAAAAACTTTTAAAAATTTTCCCTTAATTTTGAAATTATAAAGAGTAAAGTCATTTTGAGATTCGCAGCTATATTTTGATACTAATAAAATATAATAATGAGTTATAATCTTAACTCAACCATGTACTTTCTGTAATCTTTGTTCATTGTGATCTCGTTTTATGCAGGATGAAACAAAACAAGCTCAGTTCCTTGCTTTGGCTGTAGTTTACTTTATATCTGTCTTAATGGTCTCAAAGTATCGAGATATTTTGGAGCCACCACTTCCTCCATCATCCTTTACATCTCGTCCTCCTGTTATATCAGAAATGAGTCATTATACAGCCTCCTCTGCTACTTCGACTGCAGCCCAAACAGGTAAGGAAACAAAACAGTTTTTTTTTCTAAGCATGTCTCTCCTGAAATTCTCAAGGAAATGGACTGTTAAATCTGCAATATTAGTGATGTATAATGAACTCATGCAATTTTTCTCTGAGTGTTTTTCAATCTATTATGAAACTTATAAACTCAAATATATATAAGACTCTCTCTCAGAATTTAAAATTCTTAGCCAGTAAATTAGCCAAATATCAAAAGTATTTGCCAATTTTCAAAAGTCTTTGCCAAATGAAAATCTTAAACATTTTGTATATATATTTTTCTTACCAGTGAAAAAATCATTCAGCAATAATTTCACCAAAACCTAATTTTATTCGCCATATTTACGATTTAATCGCATTTGGCGAGGTGGCGAATGTTTATCGCTGGCCCTGATCACCTTATGAAAATTTATCCAGTCATACTGTCCTTTATTATTCTTGCTTCCAATATTAGTTTATTAGGTAATTCTAGTTTATAATTTCTTTCTACTTTTTATTGAGCAAATAGTTTTTTAAATCATGAAATTAATTTCTTAAAGCATTAAGATGATAAACATTTTTTTAAAAATTGATTCATATCTATCTAGAAATTTTAATAAAACTGATAATGAATTCTTCAAACAGAAATAAGTATTTTTTTATTTATTTTATTTTATTTATAGGTGTGATATAATAAATTGATTTAGATTGAATAAATTAATAATTTTCTGCATTAGTTTTAAAGTCATAATACTTAAATGTAAACTTTCAAATTACAATTATAATTTCATCAATTTAAATAACGAAAATCTGTAAAAGTTTTTGAATTTTGCTCTGAAAATCTGAGGGATTTAATTTTGTCTGTAGAGTGCCTTCCTTCCCAGTCTTGTGAAAATTTTAGTTATTTATTTAAAATTTTAGTAGGATTATTTATATCTTATATAAGTTACTATGTAAAGTTGTTATATAGTTATCTATATGATTAACCACAAAAATGGACTGAATGTAATGATCAGAATTATCTGCAATAAAAGGTAACATTTTTTAAGCATTTTCTAGTTCATTTTCGTGCATTATAAATTTATTTTTAATTATTTTATTTTGACTGAAACTGCTCTAACAAGTGCCATAATATTTGTATATATTTTCATTTTAGGGACTGATTCAGAATCCAGAAACAATGGTCAAAATTCTGAGTCTGTTAATGTTTGTAATGAGGATGGTGAAGATGAAGTAATCATTGTTGAAGACACTGATTCTAGTATATTAGCTCATTTACATTCATCTGGTGCTGCTGTCTCTGCTGTGAGTCTTTAAATTTAGAATTTTTTCATTAGACTAGTTATTATAGTGAGACTAGTGATATTTTCTTACAATTTTATATTTAAAATGCAAACTATTAATTTATATTATTATTCTTTTCTCAGTTGATGTATCAATGTTTTATTAGTAATTTTACTTTGAATGAATCGAATTTTTCATTAATTTTTAAGGATTTAGGCTTTATTTCAAACCACAATGGCTGGGTTATAAAAGAGTACCAGGTATAAAGTTTAGCCAGCAATATTATCTCCGCCCATTCCCGGCTATACAATCATATCATATTAGTGGAAAATATGACATAGTAAAGTTTAAGTAATCATTAAGTAAAGGACCTATGAATTAAAATCATCTCGAACGAAATATTAAAATGAATATTGGATCTAGTAAACCAAGTTGTCTAATAACCTACTTTTTTTCCAGGTCATTAAGACTCAGAAAGTTAAAAACGATACGACTGCTCAACAAGAGGTGATGGTGAATGGAAATGAATCCGTGAGTCCTCAAATTAATGGTGAGCTTGTTGAATGTGATGTGGAAGATGCTACAGTTAATATGTCTTCAGTTCCTAATGATAGTTCAATATCCATAGGCAATGAAGGTCATGCTTCTGATCCTCCAGTCATGCAAACCTCTTTGACTCAAAATGGTTTTTCCAGAAATATGGAGTCCATTGATGGCTGCCAGCAATCTAGAGAAGACCTTCACATCACTTCACTTGGAAGTGCGGATGATTTCCACATGTTGAGCTCCTCTCTGTCTAGAGAAGCTACTTTAACTCAGAAGTTAGAGTCTGCCCTGGGTAGTGTGTGTCCACTACTAAGAGAAATTATGTTGGACTTTGCCCCATTCTTGTCCAGAACTTTGGTTGGCTCTCATGGACAAGATTTGTTGATGGAAGGAAAAGGTAAGATTTTTTTTACTTTAATGTTGCTTCTTGCTAAATACCGTATAAAATTGATTTAATACCATGTATATTAAGTTGTCCAGACTTAACTGTCTTTTGAACTTGAAAAATACAACAAATATGAGATGAGACTTATTTTACAGTTTTGGAAGTATACAGGGTGTTAATATAACTAAAATAGTTTACAAGGTACCTACTAGAATCTGTAACCACAAGCATTTTGGTAATTTATTTATTTTTTTTAAAAAATTAAAAAATTTCATTTATTTAATTTAAGTTGGATTTTAGTTTAATTTCATAAATGTAATTATAATTGAAAAATTATTTAAACCAAATCATAATACTACATTACGAGCAATATTATTGTGTTAAATTTTTTTTATAGTAGTACATGATACATGTAAATGCACAATTCAAATTTTTTGAAAAGGGAAAAGAAATCAATTCATAATTTAATGAGTTGTAGGCTAACAAGCCAATCTTTAATATATAGATGAATTTTGCTATAATAAAACAAACTGTGGTTTTGAAGATTGTGATTTAAGGCTAGGGATTCTTAGGTACCAATACTAATGTAACGATACTAAAGTAGCAAAAATATAATGTGTTTGATAAGTATTAAGTACTAACGTAATTTCACTAATTGAAACTCATTAATATAGAACTGTATTTACAATAAATTTTAAGCCCATAAAAATCATTAAAAAAAATTTTAATATCTCGTATCGTAATGCATTGTAATTTTTTAAATCAATGATTTCATTAAAAAAGAAAAAATATTCGATTTAAATCAGTGATAAATAAAAAACAGTTAATTTGAATCATCAAATCCTGGTGACCATCCTCTTTACTTTTCAATAGCAGCAGCTATAATTATAAAAGTAACATCTAAGTGCAGAATAAAGTCGTATTGTCTTGTAAAAAAATGGGGACTTGGAAAAAAAAATTGTATGGGATATACTAGTTTATGCAAATAGTATAAATACAGCTTGAAGTAATTATAAGTCTACATAAATATAAACCATGAAACTAATTTCTAGAGTGACAGTCTATTTTAGTGTATTCTTTTGTTGTTATGTATTATGTCAAGACAATAAATTGTTTTGAAATTGAATTGTGCAGGTTTGTGCACCTTTAAGAATAGTACATCAGTTGTTGAGCTCGTCATGCTGCTATGTTCCCAAGAGTGGCAAAACTCTCTTCAGAAGCATGCAGGACTGGCATTTATTGAATTGATTAATGAAGGAAGGTCTGTACTGTTAAACAACTTTAATTAGATATTTTTTTATTTGCATAACTAAAATAATTTTGTTGTGACTGTTTAGTCTAGCTTTTATTTATTGCTTTAAGTTGTTTTGATGTTTTATAAAGATTATAGTCTCCTAATTCATGATCTGGTTCTACATCAAAACTTTGCGTGTGTGAAATACTGCTTAGTATTTTCTTATTATGAGGTTATAATACTTTGTCCATATTTGATTGTGTTTTCTGTTATTTGTCAGATTATCAGATAATGTCCCACAATATTTTGTGTGAATTAGATTCTGTACCTTAATAATTTTTAGATTTTATGCCGCAATATTTTACTCCTGTAAGATTCTGTCTCACAATATTATATTTTTATTCGACTTTATGCTATAATTTTTAAAAAAAATATGTCGTGACTTACTTAGACAATTGTAATTTTTTTTGTTGCCAAAATTTTGTTATGAAAGGCCAAATACAAGTAAAATACTATAAACATAAGAAATTTTTTTTCTTCATTTTGTATCTATTTGTAGTAGTATTATGGAATCTATTAGAATTTTGTATCTATCAGAAGGTTTTTAACAGAATTAGTATTAAAACCTTAAATGAAGAATTTGTGAAAGTGGAAGAAAATGAAGCGATATCTTAACGATTGATCAAAACAAGCAATATTATTTTCATGTTTATACTATTTTAAAAAAAAGAAAAGAACACAAACTACACTAGTGGTGCCATCTGAAATATGATTATTTGTTAGCGTTAAAGTAGGGAATAAGTAGGTTTATTCATGAAAATTTTATTTGTAGTTAATAAATAAAAAAAATTATAAAGAATAATTTTTTGCAACATGTTACGTGTTTTTACAATAATTTTGGACATACATCGAATTCCTTATTGAAATACAAGGCATAAGAGTAAAAGCAAAAGGGAAAAAAATATCAGTATGATTTGATAAGATTGCAGATCAATCCTGCGTTTACTTAACTGGTATCACTTTATCAAAGTTGAAATGATGCTATCATATTGGTGAGTAGGAAGCTAGCATGTTTCTGCTATGTATATGTTTGAGCTCAGAGGATAGTGTTCACCTGCCAATGTAGAGACCAACGATAGTTGATATGAAGCTCGCGTAAACCACAGTGCTGGTGTAAAATATCCTCGGTGGTAGACGGATCATGAGTTAGAATCCCTTAAACGTCGGGCAAACCATGGGAGGTTTTCCTCTCAATGTAATGCAAATGTGGCTTAGTTCCCTCAAATCCTCTTCAAAGGCTAGTTAGTCCCAATACTTGATCCAGAAGCTCCCTTGTCATCTGGGTTGGATACAAAATTACAAGACTATGGAGTTGAACATTGCTAGTTCTGTACTCAGAATCGGGTTGGCTGTTCAATGAAAATAAAACTATCCGTTTTGTTGGCATCATGGTGAATAATGAAAAAGTGTCCCTAATGCACAGTTAATTATGATTTCACTGTAGCTTAAAATTGTATTAAGGGGAAAAAAAGGTATACTGCAGTTTTTTTTAATTATTTACTGAAAATAAATTTAATTTGGGTACTACTTAAAAAAATTATATTCTTCTAAAACATATTCTCAAATTGATCATTTGAAGTGTTGAATAGTTAGTCAATACTGTAATTTAGTGTTTAAGTATTATAATGCTTGTTTTTAAAAACATACTTCATTAATTTACTTACGTGTAATGTATTCTGTTAAATTGAAATGTTTTTACATTGTTTATATTTTGTTGTTATTTGTGTATTACTTTCATTAATAAAAACTTTCTTGTCATTTTATTTATAGATTATTATCTCATGCAATGAAAGATCATATCGTTCGAGTAGCAAATGAAGCAGAATTCATTCTAAATCGCATGAGAGCAGATGACGTCTTAAAACATGCAGATTTTGAAGTAAGCTTTTCTTTTTATTGTGATTTAATATTTTTTCTTTTTATAGGTTCTCTTTATTTTATGATAGTATTATTGGTGTTTGTTTTGGTGTTAAACTGTTTTATCTTTACTTTGATGATTCTCTTTACTTTTTCCGAAGATTCTATTATAATTTTTAATTTAAAATATTTATAGCTAATCCTAAAATAATTTTGTAGTTGGAACAGCTGTACGAATTGCGCCAAACTGCTACAGAACAAAATTTCTGTTCTAAATAGTTACAAAATACCATTTTCCCCCAAAAATTATGCTGAGCTGCTTTAAAACTCATTAAACAATAATTGCCACTTTAGTCCAGTTTTCAACTAGAAACCCATTAAGTAAATTTTTTTTCCAGATATACATTATATTTAGGTAATACTTGGGGTGATCAAAAATTTAATTTTAAATCCTTATGCTCCTCTAAATTTTAAAATTATTTGCTCAATCTGCTCTAAATAATAAATCTCTTTTTTTTTTCTTTCTTTTTTTTATTTATCAAATTTACTTGTTCCAAAACATTTTTTTTTCTACACATCATTAATGTTTTAAAGTGGAAGAAAAATATTCCTTCACTTTTTCTGACATCTATGATGTTTAGTAGGAAAAATCTATTATTATTCAAAGTGCTTAACTTGAAAAAAATAAAATGTTTTTATCATAATAATGCAAATTTACAATTTTTTTTATTCTGACCTAAATTGAGCTAACAATCATGTGCTGCTTTTTTCTTCACATCTGATAGTACTCCTTTTGAATAAGAAAGCAAACAATAACTTTTTCCTATATGCTGCATAAATATCTTATACATATAAGTTTCTGTTTATAATAAATGTGTTTTCGTAATCACTTGAATTCTAACAAGGTTTGACTTCACATACTTCATTACTCTGCTTCTCTTTCCTTCCTGACCACTATAAGCAAAATAATGGAGAATACATGTTCTATTTATTGCATGTAACTAACCTGATGCTAATAGAAGCTACATGTTCTATTACATATTAAGAAAAGAATTCAAAATAATTAAAGCAATTAAAAACAATACTTCCAGTGGAAAAACACGCCATGCAGCTGAAAATCCAAATGGGAATTGAAACAAAAGAAACAATGAAAAATGAAAATTATGAAAAATATGACAACCAAAGCTTACGTCTTCAAAGGGTACCAGCTCCGGAAGCTATAAATGCAAAACCTTTTCGATTGATAGAGCAAGACAAATGTCTAAATTGCTTTCTCTCTGTACCCCAAAGGTTTTGCCAAAGTCCAGGAAGAGAATACAATACAAAATATGAAATGCATAAAGCAAATGCAAAAGTATAAAATCAAGACTAATACATAAAAATAAAAAGCACAAAAACTTACTTGAAATATAAATCCCATAACCAAATTACACTACTGACTGCCAAACAACAACTAGATTGAAATAATTATTCATGATTTTCATTGTTTCTTATGTTCTATTACATGTAACTATTACATGTTACAGAAGTTACATTTGCCCTAAATGGTAGAAGGAAGCACAACTTATCAGCAATCAAAATTTTGACAACTTTCTATATTACCTGTTGAAGCAAACTAAAAAGAAGAAAAATGAATTAAAATTTAAAGATATTTGTTAATCAAATTTATTTAAAAAGGCGAAAATAATTTTAATTTAGTCAGACTTGAATTGAAAATCATAGAGCTCATCATTTTCATAATAAATTTCTATTTTCTCCACATCTTTCAAAGGTCTAACCTAGCTTTAAGTTTTAGATGGGACAAAAATAGAGAAATTTTTACCAACCTACATTAGAAGCATAGTTTTTATAATTTTTATTTTATATTATTTATTTATTTTTATGATTCATTTTTGGCTTTTAGTTGGTATGTTTTTATGCTTGTAAATTTTTTAAAATGATTTTTAATAACGTCAAAATTACGATATATTAATTTATATGTTTATTTCAATACAGTCTTTGTGTGCTCAAACTGTTCTTGATCGCAAGGAAGAGGAGAAGATGTGCGACCATCTCATTACTGCAGCTCGACGACGTGACAGTGTCACTGCGTCTAAGAACATTGAAAAAATATTAAATATTTTGACAAATAAACATGGTGCCTGGGGAAACAAAATTTGTATGCCACCCCGAGAATACCTGAAGTTAGATTCTTGGGAGGACGATGCTCGGAGGAGAAAACGCTTCATACAAAATCCTCATGGTTCTAGTCACCCTGAAGCTACACTCAAAGCTGCTATTGAGCATGGTATGTATTAAAAAACATATTATTCAACTATCTTTTTGCTGATTGTATAATAATTTAGAAGCATCATACTAAACACAAATTAAAAGTTATCTGTCTTCCTAACTTGTTTATTATGAGATTTCTATGGCTTTGTTTGTGCAGATAGTAAAATAATGTGGATCCATCAAAATTAAATAAGCTAATCACATTATTAGTTACTCTAATTTGATTATTTGTGCTTATTACATTGTTTCTTTTTTAAAACATATTCAAATTCTAAATATACATTGTTATTTGAAATATTCATTAGTTTCATCTATCTGCTCATATTTTTCTATTGACTTTGTATTTTAATTTATGGTTAATATTTTACTACATATTGTGGTAAAATATTAAATTACTAGCTGAATGCCCATTCTTTGTACTGGATGAAATTAAGGAATCACTAATTCAGTACTGAAAAACACTACAGAATCATGCACAAAGCTGAAAGACAAATACCATGTCATGTGACACCTGGGACATCATTATTCCTCATTGTGTTTTGGCAACACCTTGTGAGCAAACTCCCGATTCCTGAATCAACTATACCCAATCTCAATTATCGAGTGTTACGGCTAATTGATACTTAAACGTGGACATAACTGCATTTATCCACACAGCAACTATTGCAACGTCTGTGTTTGTTTGTATTTATGCTCCACTCTTGTTTCAACATGCCCATAGGAAGGTTTTAATCCACATACGTTGACTGAAAACAAAAATATAATTATTCATTTTAATGACACCAGAAATTATGCATTTGATGCCGACCAGACTGTGTAAGGGTCAGGGAACAGGCCTTGCATCAGAAAGGTTCTGGGTTCAAATCCTGGATAAGGTATGGATGTTCTTTCATTCTCTGTAGTATCTGTTCTTACTGTGGGAGCAGAGTCGGCTCACCTAATATGGTGCCCCTGACAGAGTGGCTAACAAATCTGCCCTAATACGCCTGGATTGACAAATATCAATCCAGGTGGGCTTAGGGAAATAAATGTTTGCAATAAGTGCAGCTGCTACAGTGATATATAATACATTTAAATTAACCTAAGTACAAACAAAAAAGGATTTATCAGTGATTAAACTCAAGTTTGTCAACTATTTTTCTCCAGCTTCAAATGACGTATATGCAAAATTTGATTTTTAGTTGTCTACAACATAAGCATGAAACTTTTGATTCTTATTTTACCAAACTGAAAAGTAAAATTCCCTTTAGGTTAGCTTCTACCCTGGAGATTTTTCAGCAGTATTGCAATCGATTTTGATTGTTCAAGGAAACTTTGAGTGTTTAATACATGATATTTTTATGTGGACAAACACGAAAGACAAATTAACCAATCTGACGGGGAAAGTTATGCCCTGATTAGCAGATCATAGAGTTATATCTAAGCAAAGAAAATTGTGTGTTTGTTAAATAAGCGTTAATGTTGTAGGACATATTTTTAGTTCCAAAGGTGTTGAAAACTCCAATTTGCGTCATTGAATTACAAAGACTTATTGGCATGGTGAATTATGTGTATATATTCATTCTTCATTATTTAACGATTTTAGAACCTTTGTGAAGTCTTCTTCAAGAAAATGCTTTATTTAATTTGAAAGCAATAATATTCACAGCAAATAACTTATAAACATGGCTTGCAGATACCAATACCTCATGCTTTTAGTCGTGACTGTGCAATTCGTGTTTTAGAATCGCGTGAATTTGAAGATGCTGAGGCCTTTGATGTCCTAGACTTTCCTCTTCCTTAGACTGCATTTACGGAGTTAGTAAGTGCTGTTCATAAAGATAATGAATTGCAACAGTTGAAATCTGTAATTATGAATGGCTAGCCTGAAACTGTTATCGAAGTTCTCAAGATTGCTCGTAAATATTGGAATTATCATGAAGAATGGTCTTCATGTTAAAATCTACTTTTTAAAGCAGAGCGGCTTATTGTACCTAAGACTTTACACAGTAAATATTTGAAGTATCTGGGACATTTGGGAATGAATCTCGCTTCACTTCATCTTCGTGTTTTGGAACGGAATGTTTAAAGACATTGATGACTATGTACAGCAATGTTTTGTTTGCCAACAGAAATCATCTGCTCTTAAAGCAGAGCTGTTTCTGGTGAAACTGGTTCCTCAATTCCTTCGACATATATTCTCTTCTACTTATATTTTCTTCTAACTTTATTAATCAACTGATAATATTTTCTGGATTCTTTTTGAGACTTGATAGTTTCAATTTCTTTATACTGCTTAATGAAGTCTCTTTTTTTGTGTAATCGCTTTTCCTTCATTTTTAGGTCTTTAAATTCTTCAGTTTTTTGTGCACATTACTTCTGGATCATTAATTCCTAGGCATTATTTTGCTTGTTCTTATACTCCTTGAGAAAGGTTTCATATGCAGTGTCACTTATTTTTTTAAGTATTTCTTAGTCACTTTTATGAGAATGTCATTTGTCAACATCTAATTTTTGACAAAAGCTAAAAGTGATCTAAATTCACATTTGCTCTTCTGTAGCATCGAGCATACAGTAAGTTACTTTGGTATCTGATGTCTATAAGAATATAGTCGATTTGGTTACATGTCTTCCCAACGGGAGACATAGGCTTTATGAATATCTTATGCTAGAATATTGTGTCACCAATCAGTCAAAAATTCCCTATTCTCATTAGTTTCTTGATGTAAACCTTGTTCTCCAATATCACATTGCTTTATCACATTGTTATTTTCGATTTTTGTATTGAAATCTCTGATCAGAAGTTTCTTTATCATTTTGTAGGAAATTCTCATAAGTGTTTTCCAATAAATCATAAAAACTTCCCTTGTCACAGTTTTCTCTTAAGATGGTGCATGAACACAAATTATGCTGTATAGTATTTCCTCTTTAGCCGAAGTTAACAATTTTTTTTATGAAAGGCTTGAATTTAATGACATTGTTTTATTGTTCACAATAAATCCTGTAATAAACTGATGTAGTTTATCTTGAGAGCTATGATAAACATGATGCTTCTTCTTTTCGAAGCTGCCCTGAGCTGTATAGTAAATTTTTTGCAATGGTAGAATGTCAATCTTATATTCGTCAAAAAACATCTACTAGATTTCTCAATGCATCACTCTTATAAAGATTTCAAATAATCCACATATCAATAATCATGTCCATTTTCATGCCAGGTCATGTAGATAGGTTTTAACCGACTGTCTTCAACTATTTGGAATTTCTGAGCAAACTACTTTTACTAGTCAACCCCTTACCCAACGGAAGGACCAGGGTATTACTCTTCACCTGGTGCCTCACCAATCATCTCACTGGCTTGGGAGACCCTACCAGTAGCTTTTAAATCTTTTTTTTTGGGGGGGGGTGTCCTTAGCCCAGTTTGCGCTGTCATGCTATAGATTATTCAGACACTGCAGAACTTCACATTCTGTTTCTCAAATTTATTATCATAGCAACGGGAAACATCACTTGAAATTTTTCTTTGGAAAACTTCAGCCTCTAATTCCTTTGCTTTCATATTTTCAAATTTGTGCTATTTGTATATTTTTTTATTTTGCAGGAGCTCCAGAAGATGCAATTTTACAGGCCCGGGAAGAATTTCACCAACATTTAGCAATTACACGTAGACAACAACAGCACCACTTACAAAGTAGTGATTTACTTGATGACAGTGATTTGTGGGACGACAAAGATCTGGATGCTGAATTAGCAGGTATTTATTTGATGCTCATGATTTGGGGATGGCAAGGCTTGAATTGCTCATAATTGCAAAATTATCAGATTTTATTTAAAAATATGTATTTTATATCTGGTACAACACATCAATATCTTATTCCAGTCATATTCCATATGCATATCATGTAAACATAATTATATTTTATGAAATTTAAAAAAAATTATTTAAAAAATATAACATTTTTAGAAATAATTATTTAACATTGCTTGGTTTTTGACATCATTTATTTTAGAGCAACTTTGAAACTGTATACTACTTAAAAATTGTCTTGAAAAATTATACCAATGTATTAATTATTACCATTATTAATTATCACCATTTTTAATTTAAGCATTAATTTTGATTTTTATAAATTATTATTTCTGTAATTAATTTATGAAATTTATTTTGAATTATTATTAATTATAAGCATGTTATAAATTATTTTGATATTCAAAATAGATTGTTTCATTTGAATTCAAAAAAACTATCCACTCAAAGGACTGTTGTTAATTTTTTGGTTTTTAAACAATTAAAACATTAACAGACATCATCATGATTTTTTTATATTTTTTTATTATTAGGTCCAGTGAGTTTTAGTACAAAATGCAGATTAGTTGCTCCAGGAGTTGTTGTGCCCGGTATGCTGTCAATTACTCAAGCTGAAATGTTTTTCGAAGTCGATGAAGATGATGCTGAGTACAAGAAGATGGATCCTGAGGTTAGACTTTTATTCTTTTCCTTCTTATCGATATCTTTATCAACATTAGTTGAGGGGAAGAGGTAATGCTGAATATAGCATCTTTTTTTATTATATGTAGTTTGAAAATATATTTTTTACTGAAACTTGTACAAGACAAAAAAACTAACAAGTGTTAAAAAAAAAAAAAAACCTTATGATCTTAACAAAACTTTTCTAAAATCATGATAGCTTGATTTTTATAGGCTTTTCCTCCATTATCACTATAGAAAAAAAAATTTAAAAGCTATTTTAAAAAATTAAAAAATATTTTTTCGTTTTATTTAGGTTTATCATTATTTTTTTATTTTTGAAAAAAGATATTGCACTTTTGATTAAAATCATGCAGAATCTAATCAAATTCATTCCAGATTCAGAAATCCATTCATTCCAATCAGATCTTGATAATACACTTTATTTAATTTTAAAAACTATGCTTTAAAAAATATGCTTCAAATGTAAACTAATGTTAACGTGATATGCATACAAATTTGATTTAAATGCTCTTAGTTAAAAGGTACAACAAACTAATATTTTATTACAAAAATCATTGCTTGATAACAAAAGGGTTTAGCTTCAAACATTTACTTCGAGTTTAGTACAGGGAAAAAAACTTAAGAATACTTCAATTACTTTCTGAGAAAATAACATTTTATATACATTTATGGATGATGGGGGCTGAAACAAAAGAGATGCTACTATTGCCACATTCCTACCAATGTAAGATAGTCTGAGATTTTAGTGGTTGTGCGATTTCTAGAAATGAACACATTCTCTTTGAATGTCTGTGAATTTCTTTCTCTGCAAAACAATTTGAGGAAAACTAAAGAAAAAAAAACTTTGTAAAAGCATCTCACTATCTAGATATCATCTTTTCAAAACATCTAAGCATTTTGAGGAGCATGAGGGTAAGTACGGAAACGTCTTGTGGACCACCAGGTACGTGTTTAAAGATTTCTTCACTTTGTATAAAGATCAACTTTTGTATGTTAGAAACATGTAAAAGGAAATTTCAGAATTTATGCAATCAAAAGTAAACCATGATTAATTTAAATGTTTTTGAGGATTGTAGCAAATTTTTGAGTTTTTTTAATTAAAAAATGAATTTGTGAGAAGTTGGTATAATTCATTTGCAGTTATACAAATATGTAAAAATATCTCATCTTTAAATGTGCTTTTAACGGGTGCATAGTATTGTTTTTTATTTCTGTATTTTAAAAAAAAGCAACGAAGAAAAACTATGTCACTTTATCGCTTGTGTTTTAAAAATTTATTATAATTTTTTTTACCGTGTTTGTTTAGTCTTAAAATTAGCAAGAAATCTTACTTTGTTTAAACTTCATAATAGTTTTGGAGTGATTAAATAGTTGACATTGACGGTTTTTAGGATCTTTCAATGAAAAAGAAAAACTAGTTGTAGATAATTTAAATGTATTTTTGCTAGCAACTTAGATGGAGATATTGTAGAGCTAATTATAACAATTGAGAAGTAATTGTTAGAAAGATGCCTTTTGTTTTTATTTTAGCAAGCATTCGAATTGTTCAACCTCAACAATAGTCAGTATTTTCACTTTAAAAGAAGATTAGAAAGGAATGCATCTGAAAATATTATGTTTTTAAAAGCAAAGATAAAAAAATAGCAAAGCAATTCTTGTCTATAAATCTCCTTGAATTTTTCAACAATTAAATTTTTGAAATTATAAATAACGATTCTCTTTTATTATCATTAAAAATGTTTTGCGGAGAATCTTCAAGTTAATATCCAATTTTTCACACTTTTGTGCAAGGCTACGCACTGCTTGAAACTAACAATGTTTTTTTACAAGCTAAAAATTCTTTTTGTGCATGTAAAAAATAGGAATAATTGGTTCTGGAAGAAAAAAAACCTTACACCAACCTTGCACCTTAAACCAGAGACCAAATTTTTTAAAATATCAGTTTAATAAAAACGTTTACATTTATAATTAAAATAATTTTTGGCCTATGCTTTTTTTTATCTGTTTTTATACGCTGAATCAAAGAAGATATCACTTTTAATAACTTTTGATCTAATAATCAGTTTAAAGATTTAATTGGTTCATAAAGTAGACTTGAAATATGCTGCCTATGAATTATAAGTTATTAAATCACATATAAAAACTTAGTTTTCTGATTAAGCGACATTTAAGGTGTTCTAATTTTGAACCGCTCCTATTTTTCAATTGGAATTTATAATTTCAGATTGCGATACATCATTTTCTCCAAATCCATTCACCCCTTTCCCCCGAAATTTAAAAATCCTTATTTGTAGAAACCAATACATAGTTGAGAAAAAGTGTGTCCTTTAGTTTAATTTCGTAAAAGTATAAGGTTCTAATCATTAATTTTAATTTTCTATCTACTCCTTAAATTAGCAGCGTACAGGAGATTAGTAAATTTTTAGTGTTTCAAATCTTGTCGGGAGATGGCGCTGTAAGCTTTTTCGAATAAAGTAAATCGGTTTTTTTTTCGTTTTCGACTTGGAGGAAGATGGAAAACTATTTTCTCTCTCGTTTTCTTATCTCAACATATTATTATTCAAATATGGAAACAGTGTTGTAGTATTAGTTGTGAAAATATATTATCTTGCCTCAATTTATTTTAAGAAGCTTTGCCGTGCATAATTGAGAACATGAGAATTTTACATCTTGAATAACTTTTGACTTGACACTTTCATTGCGCAACAAAAAATATCCACACTCATTTATGAAACTCTTATATCGTAAGATAATTTCATATGAAAAATGATTGATTTTTATTATGAAATAGATGCCAAACATTTTTTTGCTCACTCTTAAGCTAGGTTATACTAAATAACAAAATGTTGGTGAAAGTTTCTGAGAAATATAAATTTTTTTACTTAAAATGAAAAAAGTAATAGCGAAAGCTAATTTTTTTTAATATTTGAAACTTCAAATAAATCATGTAAAATATTGTCATTGGAAAAGGTTTCATTAAAAAGCGAAAAATTAAATTTTATTTTTTTTATTTGCAGTGTTAATTTTTTTTAAAAAAAAAATTCCTTTTTGATTAACCGAAAAACTTTTATGAATGATTTTTTGTTGTTGGTCTTTTAGTAATTTTTTATACGTATTTATTAATATTCAACATCATGCATATAAATGCATGTTTTTAATTACTTCAAATGAATTTCAGAAAGACATTTGCAAGATTTAGAACTTGGAATGTAAATAACTAAGAATTTTAAAATTCATAATTTTGAAGTTAATATTAGTTAATGCTGATGTTTAAGTAAGAAAAAAAGATTTTCATAAAATATAAAAATGCATGGCATTAATGAACGAAAATAAAGTAAACTGGTCTAATTTCCTAAAAAAAAGTAAATTTTTTTTGTAGTTGAAAGTAGCTATTTAAGTTAAGATATTTTCAATACATAGGAGACTGAACTAAGATATTTCGTATTCGAACTGATTTCAGAATTTTACATTCTCGTATTTGGAATGTTCTGAGTAATTAAGGACTTCGTAATAAAAGCATTTATTGTAAGAATGAGGTTTATGTCATTCTCACGTTGCTGGATTTTTATTTATTTATTTATTCTTTTTTTTCGAGAACGTTGTTCATTGCAGAAAACATTAAATTTTCTAGATACATTTAGTATTAACATCACTTTTTTTTTACTAACATGTAAAAGCTTGATTTAACGAGTGTTTTTCAAGATCAAAATCCGTATTACGATTTTCAAATGTATGTCAAAATGCTGATATTAAACATACAAATATTGTATGTTTATAACGAGTTAAAAAATTACTAACCTTCCGCTATCTCTAATATAATTTTTTAGATAGATACATTTTTTATGCTTTTTCAATGAGCAATATTGTGCGACAAAAGGCGACATGAAAGATATTTTAATTATCATTATTATTAGTATCATTTGAGAAAAGTAAAAACAAACATCATTTCACCATATTTCTTTCTTACAATCTTAACCCTTTATGTTTAAAAGCAAGCTTATATGGGCGACCAACGACCAAGTTGTCTACCTCCTTGCAATACAAAAATTCTTCTGCTATTTTTAGGTAATCCGCTGCACAAAAAATGTGCTTTTTTTGTTGACCTCATATTTTCCCCCCCTCTTCTTAACAAAGCTTCCCCAGTTTACTATCGAATCCGATGCCAGTTTAATACTTAAAACAATATTCAGTTTTATCAGTGTTGCCTAAAGCTATTGTACTACATTAAATTTTTTATTTATCTTTTTTCACTGCTATTTTAACATGAAATACGTGTATTCGCAAATAATGTTGAACTCGCTATAACGATAATTACTATAGTTGTTTTTATAACGGACTTTTTCTGCATTTATTTTTCATGGATGCAGCAAAAAAAAAAAAAAAAAAAANATAATAATAATGTCAAATTGTTACTTAAGTAAAATATTAAATAAAAATATTTGTATAATAACTTTATTTTTCATTAATTTATCTTCCGGAGTTCTTTTTAGTTAATTAAATTTGAATGGTCTGAAACAAGTGTACGGTTAAAATTGCTTTTCTAGTAAGGGGAAGCGTTTGTCGTTAATTGGATAACCTGTGTTGATGGCTCAGACCACCTTGAAATACGAGCTCAAATGATGGATTTCTTATAGTGTTAGAGGGCACTCTTGATGAAAAGTTGTTTGTCTTTTATTCCTCTTTGTTCGTAATTGATTATATTTTATTCACTCTCATATCATTTGTGATACTAATGGCCAATTCTTATTTTGATTGTATTTCTCGGGGCTAATTTTTATTCAATTTAGTACCCCTTTCAACCTTCGAATAATTAGAAAATGGAGAGTTAGATACTTTAAATTATCTTTATGGAAAAGAGAAACAATTTGATAGCGATAAAATGAAATACCATGAATAAAATAGTGTAAATAAAAGAATGACTGTCATTTCAATCGATTGCAGGAAGTGAAAAATTGTGTGTTTTCAACCCTTTAATCAAAGTAATTA